AGGGGACGGGAGGAGAGGGGAGGGGACGGGAGGGGACTGGACGGAAGGGGACGGGAGGAGAGGGGAGGGGACGGGAGGAGAGGGGAGGGGACGGGAGGAGAGGGGAGGGGACGGGAAGGGGACGGGAGGAGATGGGAGGGGACGGGAGGAGAGGGGAGGGGACGGGAATAAAAGTTGATATTTTTCGTTTAAAAATCTTAATATTGAAAAAAAATGTTAACAAATAATAGTGTGATAAATAAGCATAGCAGCGACAAATGTATACATCAATAATGTGAACCAAAAAATCTTTAAATAGTCTTAACACCTATTTTCAAGTTTTTTGTCTTGAGACTTGAATTATTTAAGTAACAGTGAAAAAATGGAATGTGTGCAAAGTGGAAGAAATGGGTCAAAGCATTACACCTGTCCATAGAAAATCCTGAATAAATGTAACTTTATTTTATAACGACAAGAAAATGTCAATTAAATGTTTAGGTACAGTATAATAATATAAAATAGCAGTATCTTTTTTTTTAACTAACTGACTCTACATGTATTGTCTTAATAGATGTAGTTGTAAAAAAAAAAATCAAGTTTTAATGTCACTTATAAAATAAAACCTAACTTTATTTTCACTACTTTCACATTTTAAAATTATCAAAACATAATACACCCTGAGAATATGAAATATAAGCTTGCATTTTGCATTCAGCTGTATGCTGACAAGCCGGTAATAACCAGATTGGAACTGTCAATGAGAAATATAACATCAATACTTTTTTGTATTTTTATTTTGTATTTTGATATTTTTAACAAACCATTTGGGTAGAAAAGTCTAACGTAAACATGCCAATCGGACCCATCTGGTGCTTTAAGACTTCTGCTGACGTAGACCACGTTTGTGAATGGGTAAAACTTGTGACGTCATTCAGACTAAGGAGTCCTTCAGTCACAATGCTCACTGGTTTTTGTTTAATTTTGAGTGTTTTAAATAAATATAATTTGACATTTAAAAGACACAGCACTTCACATTTCCATTTAACAAATACATAAAATACTTACAGGAGAATAAGGACACACACTTTAAAATTAAATCATTATAAATTTAAATCCTGGAGATTTGCTTCTAATTTCTGACTCAGTATTGATGACTACATTATATAGTGATAAAATAGTTTATTTAATCACTGATTCACATGTCCATCACCAAGACAAATATATTTATACATTGTTCACTCTGGTGTTCATTTATTACTGAATGCCATTAACCACCAATCAGTGTCCTACCAAAAACCTAATGCCATAAACCAACCAATCAGTGTCCACCTTGACTGAATGCCACAAACCAACCAATCAGAGTCCACCTATCACTTTAATGCCACAATATTAATCATTAGGATTAATATAATACAATAAGTGTAATCCCCACAAGGTAACTAGATCTATACTTACAACTTTACAAAAATAATTAATTGTGATTGTTCATGTATTTTACTAAAGACAAACTTTTAAGCATTTTAATTGGTGCAAAAAGAGGAACTTTTTCCACACAAAAAAACATCATTAGCAGCTTAAATTCTCACATCTTTTGCTTTTTGACAGGTACAAAAATAACTATTGGGGAAAAAATGAGAGTTTGCTTGATATCTTTAAAAGGAGGTGAAGAAGTAGTTAATTTAATCTCTGTAAAATGTGATCTAAAGAAAATATTACACAAACATTCAATCAAATCATAATAAAAAAAACACAATCATTCAATCAAATCAAACACAATCATTCAATTAAATGGTAATCAAATAATAATAAATCTCAGCATTCATTTCTGAGATATGAATGAAATTTAAAATGAATAAAACAAGTGGTCAGGTCTAAACAGCATAACAAATTTCAAACAGATTTTATTTTTACAAAAGTTGCAGTTGTGAACCGTGGAAAAACAATAAAGAATAATGGCAATAATACATTTGTCCAACATCTGGCAGCTGAAATACAAATATTTCCATTCCATTCTAGATTCAGTTCAACAAAATATAATTATTAAATAATTCAAAGATGCAACAACAGTTGCACACATTTATTCAAACTATGAAAAAATACAAATCAATAGTAAGGTCTGTCTATGCCAGATGAAATGTACAGCATCCAAGTTAACATATTCCAGTGTATATTTTAAAATACATAAAAAATATATGTAAAAAGTTGGCAAATTCAACATATCATTGACAAAATCATGAAAAGTCCAATAGTTATGTTGTGTATGTCATCAGCTAAATGTATCACAAAATGCATTCCTCCCCTGTTACATATGACAAGATATGTGGACTAACTCAGCTGAGGACAAGATTGCACTTGGCTCATTCTTTTTAAAAATGATTTCATACTATTAAAAACTGACACATGTATGGTAATACAAATAATGCAGTAAAACTACTTCTGGCTGACTATTTTTAAAAAGCTTGAACAAAACCCTGATGAAGCAGTGAAACTCAAATGTGTTGGCATGAGATTAAATTCAATGTGTCAATGAGATTTATTGATACAAAAAGTCACCCTTATTTATTTGAGTGATACATGGAAAGGCCAAGATGATAACAATATTTAATTTGAATGCATTGAAACTAAATTGGACCAAAATGGAGATGTAAGGTACGTTTCACCAACAGTCTCGATTTTGGTTGCAATCTGTAACCAATAAACAAAATAAATTGGTGATTGCATTTCTTGTTTGATTAATTCAATGCCACTCTGCTGTTCAGCTAAACTGTTATTGCAACCAGTTACCTAAATTACATTTTTATAATTATTTCATTAACATCAAATGTGGAACACATGAATATATTACATTGAGAATTTACATTCCATTCACTAAAGTCTAAGACAGGGCTTCTCCCCACCTGCACTAGGGAACAATATCAACTTTGTTACCACACCATTAAGCTGTCAAAAAAAAACACACACAAAAAAACAAACAAAAACTATGAACTCATAAGATTTTCATTTCTATTTATAGAAATGCCTTATGAAAAAATCCCCTTGCTATTTCATTCTTGAGCTTTATTCAATAACTCACTCCATACATGTGACAGACAACTCACTAGAAATCTTTTATTCTGTAGTGTTGCTCACTAAACTCTCTATACACAAGCTGCTTAGGCGAGACTTTTGTGTAGATGAAGTCAATCTGGAGCATTTCTTTAACCCTTCTGTTAATTTTCATCTGACTCTGATCACTGTCTCTGAACCTCTGGTGTCTCTATTGGTTATATTCTAACTGAAAACTTTTCTTTTCATGATTTGTTGATTGGATATACCAAAAATAATTACAAAACATCAATCTCAGAAGATGACGAAACACATTACATGAGCATAATTATCAACTATTTACAATATGCTACTTTATATTAATTAATAAAGCTCAATAACGGCAAATGTTGAAATGAAATACAAATATTGGCACTGGCATCATGGTGGTTGATTTAAGTAGAAGAAACCCTGTTGAAAGCAAGTTAATGATTTTATTTCAAAAAATTTCAATGAGAGAAATCTTAAAAAATCAGCCGTTCATGATGATATTTATTTCAAGTATAGACAAATATGGTGTTGTAAGTTTATTTTCTGGAAAGAACCACCCATGTAGCATAATTATCATATGGTATGATCTTTTTTACCATCAAGATATTTTTGCCTTGAAGTTCTCACGAGAGTGCACTGTCATGTCAGTGGTGCACAACTCTTTTGTTATGTTAACTTGAGATGGGGGGGGGGGGGGTGTCCCCCATCTAAGTTAAAAAAACTTTTCGGGGGGGGGGGGTATTGGTGTCATTTTCGTGTTACACCTGTTGTACATCTGTTTTATGGTGTACGTAGGACTAGTTACAACAGTTAACAAAACAGTGCTGGAATCTAATAAGTGAATGTGTTTCTTTATTGTTGTTTTTTTAAAAACATAAATTTAAAGATTGAAGACCATTCAATTGAAAGAAGTCAGGAATCTTACATCAGTGAGCACTTGTTTTTTTTATAACCCATAAAGATTTTTTAAAAATAATATTAGCTGCTGTCTCAAAAGCTACCAATGTATTCCATACAACCATGGTCAACCAACCCTGTATCATGTAAGATTACAACATAGTGATGCACTGCACCAGGTCCGAGTATGGAGAGTCTGGCGCGGCAATGGTCTGGAAGGTGGCCAGAAAAGCTCTCTTGTGGCCGTCGTCCGTCAGCTGACAGTAGAAGTCAACAGCACACAAACAAAACAGCCGCCTGTCCATCGGCTCCATGTAGCCCATGCGACCAAGAACATGGGGAAATCTTCCAACATGGGTTAAGAAAAGACAAAGCATCTTCAATTAAACTTAAGATCCCTACACTAACTTCTATTCTGTGTTTTCATTAGATCAGACTTATTCATTTAATTGGTCAGAAATCAAAACAATTTTTTAAACATTTTTATCACTGCTTACTTTTTTTTAAAATTGTTTAAGTTTAAAACAAATAAATAGCACAGCTGTTTCCTTAAAATAATAAACAAATAATATCATGTGACTAACTTCTACCAGGAATGGTTATACTTTTACAATTATATCTTTATTATTACAAAAGTATTTTTCTCTTGTTATCTCGTACAATTAAATCTTGATTGATCCAAAAGATGTAGTAATTTTCGTATAATTATCTTCTATAGTAAATGGTTCAATGAACGTAACACGAAGAAGAAACTGATATATTTTATTTTATTTTACCTGGCACGTCAGACATAGCAAATAGCATACCGCAAACATTATCATCCTGGTGGTGAGTCATCTGGCTAATCAGAGATACCAAATAGCATCCTGCAAACATTATCATCCTACGGTGATTTAAACAAAGTGAGTATAAGGATACAGGGCCCTCAGCCAGACATTTGTGGATGCACTTATGAAGAACAGTGTGAGACTCCACATGGCCATGGACACTGGTGACCTCTGGGTAAAATTGGACAAGCTCAACATGACCCACTCTTTGACGAGTCCTTGTTGTTTTTGTTGATGGAGGTTGGTGAATACCTGGACACACAAACAATGCTTTGTGACAGGTATTGAACAAAATGTGTACACTCAAACAATGCATAACATACTCAGCACACTATCAATGATTAAAACCATAAATGTATTTACTAACTTTACTCAAACTATTATTGCTTTTAGATTAGATGGATTATATCATAGGTAAAATACCCAAAACAATTTTTCATATCAATTTTTAGTAAATTTTTTCAATATCTTTTGACACAAATTTTGTGACACACTTGCTGGTGTCAGTTGATCTGTACTACATATTAATTTCCTGACAATTTAAAAATCACATAATTTTTTGCGGTAAAATTAGTTTCAATATAAACTACATCACTGTTATCACTTCAGTAAAGGCAGCTGGACCTTTAGTTCCTATTACCTGAAAGACAACATTTGCTATGAGGTATGGGTAGGGTTGATATTACCTGAAAGACAACCTTTGCTATCAGGTATGGGTAGTGTTGATGTTACCTGAAAGACAACATTTGCTATGAGGTATGGGTAGGGTTGATATTACCTGAAAGACAACCTTTGCTATGAGGTATGGGTAGGGTTGATATTACCTGAAAGACAACCTTTGCTATGAGGTATGGGTAGGGTTGATGTTACCTGAAAGACAACCTTTGCTATGAGGTATGGGTAGGGTTGATGTTACCTGAAAGACAACCTTTGCTATGAGGTATGGGTAGTGTTGATGTTACCTGAAAGACAACCTTTGCTATGAGGTATGGGTAGTGTTGATGTTACCTGAAAGACAACCTTTGCTATGAGGTTTGGGTAGTGTTGACGTTACCTGAAAGACAACCTTTGCTGTGAGGTACATTTACTTGATATTACCTGAAAGACAACCTTTGCTATGAGGTATGGGTACGGTTGATGAGCTGATAGAAATTCCCCAATGACTTTATTCATAATGTCTTGAGCAGGGAAGAAATCAGCCAAGAAGGCAGGAAGCAGCCTTGTGATCACTCTAGCTTCATATGGGTAGCCTTTCTTGATTCTAGGGATGAGGACAAAATGATGGTCACATTCCTTCACAATATAGAATGATGGTCACATTAGCTCACAGGATAGAATGATGTCCGATTAGGACAAACTAATCCTTAGCTATCAAATCAATCAGGTATATTAAGCTGTCTGAGCAGGTGAGCACATTATCTATTTATATTAATTGTCTGAGCATGTGAGTTAGAGACTGACCAAATTTCGGCTTTGGCTTCAGTTTCGGCACCAAAAGTGGCCATTTGATCACTTTCGGCCTAGTTTCGGTTTCAGCAGACACTGAAAATTTAACTTTCTGCTTAATTTCAGGTTCGGCCGAAAGAGAAAATTTAACTTTCAGTTTAATTTCGGTTTCGGCAAAAATTGACTGAGACTTTCGGCCGGATAGTGACTGAGGTTTTCGGTCATCTACCAGAAGTCACACTGTCTGTCTGTCTCTAGGTCGACAATCTGATATTCATTTGTGCTCCATGTCTTGCTATCATTGTATGTGATATGACTAATACTAAGCGAAAGCTGCCCACAGCTGCATGATGACCTTCTGGTCCTATATTTCCATAAAATTACATTTCAATTAGGCCTAGACACATGTAAACTGTTCTGTTGAAGAAAAACTAAGGTAATATTTTTATCATTATTTTTGTTTTAATTTTTTTTTCAACAATAAAATTTTGAACCCTAGGTTTATTCAATTACTTCATTTTTCATATTTATTATAATTTATCATTATCATGCTCATCAATGTTGACATAGGCAAAGGTGAAGAATATTGGATAATCCTAGGAAATAGTAAAGTTTCCATTATTATTTTTTTTTAATTTTTTTTATTTTTTTTTAACCAAACTTAAGCCTTTTCAAACCATTCATTTCTTGAAATTCATCATTATCACGCCTATTAACATTGCTATTGACGAAATAACATGAGTGTGCATGTATCACGGGTTCGTAGTACTATAATTCTGTAGTAGGGCTACTGCAGACCTGTTTTTTATTATTATTATTATTATTACTTATATGATTTTGGTGACAATTTTGCGATTCTCCATCAAGACCTGTCAGAACAACAATTTTAAGAGACACGCTTTAAAAAAATTCCCCCACCAAGAGGGTGAGGGAGGTTGGGTGCCGAAAGAAATAATTACGTCACCAGCACGGAAAGACTAGTGTGTTTTTACTTTGGGTTAAATATTAATACAGTGATATCTTGCCAGCTATTTATGTAAACACAAAGCATTACTATGACCAAACAGCGAAACATGGTGGTGATATTTTTATAGCCTTAATAAACATATATTTAGGTGGCATTTGGCTCTTTTAGAGCCACAATAATTATTGTAGGTAAATATTCTAGGTTGTAATTATATTATAAAAGCAAAGGGCACTCAAGGGTCTACTTTGCATTAATTTTTGCGCCCCCCCCCCCCTTTCCAAATATTCTTAAACCAAACTAATTTAAAAACATTTTTTTGAAATTTAAATTACTTTAAATTAAAATGGTAAAAATCAAAGAATTAAAGGGTCTACTTTGCATTAATTTTTCCCCCCCCCCCCCCTTTCCAAATATTCTTAAACCAAACTAATTTAAAAACATTTTTTTGAAATTTAAATTACTTTAAATTAAAATGGTAAAAATCAAAGAATTCATTAGATCAGGGGTCTCAAACTCAAATCATCCGGGGGCCACAGGAGGTAGAGTCTGACTGAGACGAGGCCATATCAAGTATTCCACACAAAAAGCTATTAAATAGTCATTAAAGTAAAACTTACAATCTGCTCAACCTTTATAAATAACAAATAAAAACATTAAGGGTTCTCAAGAACTAGGCTTCACTTTCTTCCACCTACTCAAATTTGCCAGAGACCTGGAAGAGCTACTTTTTACACAGCTGAGCAGCTTTGGCTTGAGTGAGGAAGCAACTGAGGCCCTCAGTATAGCTTGAAGATGCTCATCAGTAAGGTGGTCTTCAACTTTGACTTGTTAAAGTGCATAATGGAAAAAGAGCTTTTCACACAGGTAGGTGCTCCCAAAAAGTCATATGATCTGCTTGAACAACCGGGAAATCTCAGGGAAAGTTGAGGGCAGTGCAATAGTATGTACATGCTTGTCTGTTTTTCCATTCACCTCCCTGTGCAGGGCATCTTGCATATTAAAGGAGAAAAGGTCAGCAAAAAGCTGAAAAGTGGCTGTCTGTGTTTTGAAGTCTGAAAAATGTGATCCAATTCTTCCTGTAGCTTTGCAATGGCATCAGTATACTTACTACTAAGTTACTACTAACTAACGCACATATTCTGGTGAAGGTCTGAGATTACTCTCTTATGACCCCGGCTAGTAAATTGGCTATCAACTCCATCTGTTGAGCTGAGCCATACAACATTTCCCTCACAAAGGATCCTCCAACCGCCCTGGCTTCCCCCGGGAGATCTAGTGCGGGACACTCCGTCAACAGATGTTCTAAGGTCTCTGGGGCCAGGCTGCAGTGCCGGCAGGTAGGATCTCTGTTGTTGTCCAACCTCCAGAAATATGTGCGCAGGGGGCAGTGCTCGGTGCGCATCTGCGTAACTAAACTCTGCACTCTACGACCTAACCCCCACCATGGGTCTTGTTTGCTAGGAGTAGGCAAGTTCGAATAGACGCCTCTGGCGGTCGTGTTGTCAGCCCATTGCCTGTACCACTTCTGCCTGAAGTGGTCCGCCAGCCAGTTTTTGACTCCCAAGAAAGTCATTGGTACTTCTGGCTGAGGCTGGGCAGCCCCGGTTTTCGCCAGAGTGTCAGCTATCTCATTGCCACTGATGTTGACATGCCCTGGTATCCATTGCATTTCAACCTTGCACCCTATTTCATCAAGTCTGCATATGTCGTTGTGAATGACGTCGACCAAGCTTGTGGTACCCTGTCTCTTCTCCAAGATCTCAAGAGCGGATCTTGAGTCTGAGAAGACGACAATATCGAGCCCCGCATGCTCCGTCCCTTCCAGAGTGACACGGACTCTCTCCAAGGCCTTGTGCATAGCTATAAGCTCCGCGTCAAAGTTTGACGCTGTAGTCCCACAAGGCCCGGAGAGTTTTTCATTGGGTGGTCCACCTACTGGGTACTGAATAAGCGCACCGTACCCAGCAGTTCTTTTCCTAAAGTCAGCAGAGCCGTCCGTGAACACTTTCACAGGTATGTGCGTGAACACATCCATGGTCTCAAGGGCAGCCACTCTCTGTACATGTTCAGGGCTTCGTTTCGTCACTGCTGCATCTGTCAAGGCCAAATGTATGGAGGGGCGTGAGGGTTCCGCATAAGGCGGATTAACTGGGATTTGGGTCAGTCGTTCTCTATTTGGGGGCAGGGGGACTGTCCTCTCCAGCTCCACGACCTGGTGCATGAAAGAGGACCTCTTTAGTCTCCTGCCACCCACCCAGTTATTTTGCATTTGAAAGGCTGGTTCATTTTCACCGAGCCGTCGGTACCTCTCTACGGTATTTAAGATGGATTTTTCCCTCCTAATTTGTAGCGGTTCTACATTGGCCAAGACTTCTACAGCAGCTGTGGGAGTAGTCCTGTATGCGCCACAGATGAATCTCAGTGCCTGATTCTGGATTCGGCCCAGTTTTTCCAATGCGGTCTTGCTTGCAAAGGATTGGACCGGCATACTGTAGTCCATCACCGACCTTACACTGCTTAGAAAGAGAGCTCTAAGCGTACTTGCGTTCGCGCCCGAACTTGTGCAAGCCAATTTTTTCACCAGGTTAAGCTTGGCGGTCGCCTGGGAGCAGAGGTCCTGTACAAAATTGTGCATTTGTACCTTTTGGTCCAGCTTAACTCCCAAGTAGACCGGTTGTTTGTCCCACTTTAGCGCTACATCGCCCACCTTGAGCTCGATCTCCTGTTTGAGAATGGTCCGCCCATTTGTGAAGAGTGAGTAGACCGTCTTCTCGGTGTTAATTTCCTGGTGCCACCGCCGCATGTACCTGTTGATAGCAGAAAGGTCCTGCTGTAATAGCGTCTGCAGGCGGTGGACATCCTTCCCGGTGCTCCAAATTACCAAATCGTCCACATACATGGCAGAGCTAGTCGTTAGCACCTGTGGCAGGTCATTGATGTAGGCAAGGAAGAGGGTGCAACTGAGGGCAGACCCTTGCGGGAGTCCTTCCTCAAGTGTCCTCTTCCTGGAGGTTTCACCGCCGAATTTCGTGTTTATCGTCCGGTTTGTGAGAAAACCGGAGATCCACCTGTACATGTTCGCGGTTACTCCCAACGCCTGCAGCTTCAACAATAGACCGGACCTCCAAACTCGGTCGTAGGCTTGTTTGAGGTCGAAAAATACTGCCACTGTATGGGATTTCTTTTGGAGCCCATCTGTTATGGACTGGAGAAGACGGAGCACTTGGTCCACTGGCTGCATTCCCTTGCGGAAGCCCGCCTGTATTGGGCTGAGACTCTTAGTGCTCTCCAAGTGCCAGTAGAGTCTCTGGTTGACCATTCTCTCGGCCACCTTCCCTAACATCGATGTCAGGGAGATCGGCCTGTAGCCATCAGGTTTATCGAGTTTCTTCCCTTCTTTGGGAATAGGGACGATGGTAGCACTTAGCCAAGCTTTGGGTAGGATTCCCGTTACCCATGTTCTGTTGATAATTTCCAATAGCGTTTTCCTTGCTATTGGGCCAAGGTTTTTTATCATTTCGTTGCAGATTTTGTCCTGACCTGGTGCCTTGGCGGCGTCACACTTGTTAATGGCGGTTTGCAATTCGGCCAAAGTGAAAGGTGCGGTGAAAACTTCAGCATGCGGCCCCCACTTCTGGGCCACTTCTCCATTTCGCCGGAGACGGTTAAGGTTCTGGCTCTCTCTGGTCTCTTTCTGCTTCCGGTTTATCTTTGCAAAATGCTTGTTTAAGGCATCGGCACTTTTGGCATCTGTGGTAGCCGTGCCTGTCGTCGTTTGCAACGGTCGCAGATTCCTGATTTTTCCCGTGCAGGATAATGAGTCCATCAATCGCCAGACCTTTTTGCCGTCTTTCAGGTCGAGTTTTCCACATGAACTAACCCATTTTTCCTTTTTTGCCCTATCGACCTCCCGCCGGACCTCTGCCGTCAGTTTATTGTAAGCCGCTCGAGCAGCGGCCGTCTTCAACTTACCGGCTTTGGTCCGGGCTCTCTTTCGTTCACGGACTAACTTTGCCAAATTCTTATTCCAAAAAGGACGGAACTTGCGGTTCCCGTTTGTTCTCGGGATCGTTTGTTTTGCCACAGTGAGGATACCACTCACAAAGTCGTTATATGCATCGTCAATGCTTTTGGATGTATTGGGAGTCTCAGTTGACTCCGCAATCATGCGTTCTGTTCGCTCCTGGAACAGGGACCACTTGGCTTTGCCAAACAACCAGTGTCTCCTAGCAAATCTAGGTCTTATAAGTGAAAGACAGATTGTAATGAGGGTAGGTTTGTGGTCACTGCCAATCTCATCTAGTACTTCACACTGGGTCTTTGCCTCGAGCTCAGCAGAGACCAGTGTAATGTCGGGCCGTGACAGGGCACTATTTCCCGTGTGGAGCAGTGTGGGTTCACTGTCACCGTTCTGAAGTCTGATAAGATTGGTTGTGAGCTCAACCTCCTCTAAATAGCGCCCAGAGGCGTTAGTATCAGGGTAGCCCATATCCCCCATATGGGCGTTAAAATCACCAGCTATGATCCTATCACTAAAAGTAGTTGTGCCTTGCAGTGGCAGGCACAGAGTGTTCCTAGGAGTGTTATAAATATTGCTTATAGTAAAAGATTTCCCACCTAAAATTACCTTCAGGGTCAGAGTATCTGTCCCACCAATGTTTTTGCTTTCTACAAGCTCCGCTGTGAGGTGGTTCTTTACTAGTGTTACCAGACCTCGGCACCTTACGCAGGTGCAGCGGTAGACCGAGAAGCCCGTGATGTGCAATGGGTGCTTCTTTAAAAGGGTCTCTTGTAGTAAAGCCACGTCCACATCCCGGTTGTGGAGTAATTTGGTGAGTTCAGTTATTTTCCCTCTGACCCCGTTGCAGTTAAGCTGCATAACTACTAGGTTCTTAGGGAGGTGACCAGCGGCACCTTGCATATTGCCCCCAGTAGCACAAAAGCCTACAGTCGGCCTGAGCCCCGTCACCGATCTGCAGGGGAGGAGGGGATTCGAGTGCCCCTCAGTTTGAGTCATGTGTAAATTACTAGCCATATTAAAGAATAATAACTAGGCTGTATTCTCTTACCTTCTCCCGGGTAGAAGTTACAAGTAACCTCCCCCCTTCACCTTGGGAGATAGACGCAAAGGCGTGAGTTTTTTGGCTTCAGGTAGTCAGGTCTACCCTACTAGTCTTTTGCGCCGCGTAGAGGCAAAACTCTTGCAACTCATACTAAGTTACTACTGAATTGTGTGCCAGAGTTCATAAGCACTTTGCATGTTGGGAAATGGCAGAGGTTTCACAAGAACCATAACACAAGTTTTGTGCAGAATGCCCTGACATTGTCATTGGCAACCCCTGGTCTCATAACTTCTTGTTGAGTACATTCAGCTCCTGTGTAATTTCAAAAAGAAAAGCCAAGTCCATGAGCCATTTGGGATCACTTAGTACGGGAACAACAACCCCATCCTTCATCATGAAGGCTTTAAATGCTAAAACGTGTCAAGCAGTAGGCAAGAGCAGGACATATTTCTGAATTATTGACGCGAAGGAAGAAGCTATTGTAGGTAGAATGAATTTTGACTTTTAATAGTAGAAAATGTCTTTTTGACTAACCCTATTTTGAAAGACAATCCTACTATATGGATGAGAAACTTGGAAAACAACGGCGAGCATTATGCAGAAAGTACAGACCATCATAAATACATGCCTTAAAAAGATCGTGAAAATCAAATGGCCAAATATTATCACCAACAAAGATTTACTAGAAAGGACTTACCAGGAGCCCATTGATGAAGACATCTTAAATAAACGATGGATATGGATAGGACATACTCTCCGAAAACCCCCAGATAGCACCACTAAACAATTCCTAACATGGAATCCACAGGGAAAGAAGAAAGAGAGGAAGGCCAAAGAATACATGGAGACGTGAGCTAGAAGCAGACCAGCAAAATATTGGATACACCTGGAAACAACTGAAAAGGAAGGAACAGGACCGTGATGAATGGAGAATTCTTGTGGATGGCTTACGCCCCAGACTGGGTTAAAAGGCATAAGAAGGAGAAAAAGATTTTGAAAGTGACCAAGGCTTAGAATGTATGCGTAAACACGTTTCAAAATATATAAATATTTCAGTTTCGGCTTTGGCCGAAAGTCTCTTTAAGCTTTCGGTTTCAGCCGAAAGTAATTTTTTAACTTTCGGCCTAGTTTCGGTTTCGCCCAAAAGTCATTTTTAACTTTTGGCCTAGTTTTGGTTTTGGCCGAATACAGACACTCACTTTCGATCAGTCTCCATTGTGAGTACATTATCTATCAGTACTGCCTGTCTGAGTTGACTGGCACCTATTAAATTACCTGTCTGAGTTCACTGGCATACACCTATTACTAAGTCATTCACTCACCTGTCAAACAGGACAGTCACCCTCTCCATGGCAAGAATGAGAGAATCAGGATCCTGATGGAGCAGTTGGAAGCCACTGTCTCCAAACATTTGTTCTTCTCTTGGCTGAGGACTGTACTGGTCAGTGGATTTACCTGATTTAATTGTGGATAATGAAATATTACCTACTGCAATCACCAGTGGAGTACACCACATTGACCAGCAGAGTACGAAAAGACTTCCGGTTAGATGGGATTAGTGTACATGTTTTTTGATGAGGAATATTTCTTTGACTATGACATTATTAGTCAAGTAAATCCTCAACAAACTGTGATTTATAATCTAAAATGTCACCATTGCTGGTCAAGGGATGAGCCAAAAGTCACTGTCTTCAATATGCTTAGCTAATTATGTGATTTCGGGGTTTGTACTGCATTGTTGATATTCGACGCCATTTTTGTTACCACTTCCTGTCTTACTTGAAACGTAGCAAAACTATATTGCTGTGTGTGCTCTCAGACTGAAACACACGGAGTGACTTGTGGTATGTTCAAATACAATATTACACTATATACAATTGTGGTAACGGCTCTGGTAAATAAATTGTTCATCTGTGATGCCGAGAGACCAGAAATAGGCCTTATATTTGACAATTTGGACTTCAGTACGAAGACAGTTTTCCGCATAGCTGGTACTGCTCACTGTGTGTTTATAGACATTTTACATAGAGCATCACGATCATGCTCTACTCAGAGGCCCTTAGGCCGTCAAAAACTGGTACTATTGTATCTGGCCTGCATCCTCCTGGCAAATTCGTACTCTCCTGAACCCAACCCTGGACCGAACGTTACTACTAGTGCTGGTTTTCCCTTGCATACCCCATCAAGTTCCAAATCCCAGTCATCATGGATCTGCGGAGCATGTGACCATGTTGTACATGTGGAGGAGAGAGGCGTTGCCTGTGAACAATGTGGGCAATGGTTCCATCGTCAATGCCAAAGCATCGACATTTCTAATTACAACCAACATGCTAAAAATTCTGACGTGCCATGGCACTGTACTGTCTGCGGCTGCCAGATTAACCAGTCTGTGTTTGACCCACATAGTGCAGGGACGGACTCTACCTTCCCAGATTTCTCTCTGAACCACTCAATCTCCACACCAAGAGACATTCGAAGTTTTCAACCACCACACTGCTCTACTCCTATGCGCTGCAGTCAACAAGACAAATGGAGACACAGGCCATTGCGCATATTAAATGTAAACTTCCAGTCTGCAAGTGGTAAGCGAGTAGAGATAGCTAACCTAATTAACAGCCTAAAACCCGACATCATCTTGGGCTCAGAAACATGGCTGAATCCCTCCATAGCAAACGCAGAGGTTGTACCAGATATATACAAAGTATTTCGTCGAGACAGAAAAGACAGAGGAGGAGGAGTGCTTGTTGCAGTCCATCACAACTTGGACTGCCACGCTGTTCCAGAACTCGATGTTGACGACTGCGAGATCCTGTGGGTAAAATTGAAACTAAAGGGTAGACGCACACTCTACGTGTGTGCCTATTATCGACCAAATACAGCAGATGAACCAAGCCTGAGGAGGTTCGAGGTATCGCTTCACAGAGCAACACAGTCAAAAAACGCTTTTCTCCTTATAGGGGGGGATTTTAACTTTCCTGGTTGGAATTGGCAGATTCCTGCCTTGAAGCCCAAGTCCCCATACCCTGTTCTACACTCAGAATTCATGGAGATAATTAACAACCATGGTCTGGAACAGCTGGTTAAAGAACCCACGAGGGGGGAGAACACTCTTGACCTACTCCTCACCAATTGTCCACATCGTGTCCAAAAAGTTGAGGTCATCCCCGGGATTTCGGACCACAGCATTCCTTATTGTGAATTTCAGGTCAACACACTAAAAATGAAACAAATCATTCGAGAAATCCCAATTTATGCCAAGGCAGACTGGGATGGCCTAAGGATTGCAACCACAGAGCTAAGCTCAAACATGAAGGTGATTCAAGGTACAGCGACAACAGACGAGCTGTGGGTGAAGTTCAAGACTACAATCACTGATGCAGTGAAGAAATTTATACCACACCAAATCACCAAACCTAGGATAAATCAGCCATGGGTCACGGCTGAAATCCGTAGGCTCATCCACAGGAGAGACCGCCAATACAAACGCATGAAGAAAAATGGCTCGATGGAACTGAGAGAGGAGGTACTGAGACTCCGCCGAACCATTCAACGCTTATTGCGTAGATCGTATTGGAACTACATGAACGGCATCTTCTCAGAGGAAGACACCCCGACCAAAGATGTCAAGAACAAGCGCTTCTGGAGCTATGTGAAACACCAAAAGTCCTCAAACGCTGGAGTTTCCCCCTTGAGGTGGGATGGCCAATTGACATCTGACCCAAAAGCACAGGCGGAGATACTCAATCAGCAGTTCCAGTCGGTCTTTGGTGACGGTAGAGAGTACTCTGAGACTGAGTTCCTTCTGAAAACCAAAATGATGAACAGAGCCTATCCTATCATGGGAGATATCCAGATATCAGAACAAGGTGTGTTTGCCCTCCTCAATACCATTAATCCTTACAAAGCATGTGGTCCTGACCACATTAAACCACGAGTGCTCAAAGAATTAGCCAAAGAAATCGCTCCTGCACTGACAATCCTCTTCCAATCGTCACTATGCACAGGAAATGTTCCAGCAGACTGGAGAACAGCGCATGTCACTCCAATTTACAAGAAAGGGGAGCATTCCGACCCTGCCAACTATCGTCCGATATCCCTCACTAGCGTCGTCTGCAAACTGTTGGAGCACATAATCGTAAGCTCTGTCATGAAGCATCTTGAAAGCCAAAATATACTCAATGACTGTCAACATGGCTTCCGAGTCAATAGGTCATGTGAGACCCAGCTTCTCGAATTTGTAGAAGACTTGATGACCAATCTGGAGAACCACAAGCAGACTGACGTGCTAGTAATGGACTTCGCAAAAGCATTTGACCGGGTGAATCATAGTTTGCTTCTACACAAACTCCAGATATATGGGATTCAAGGCACCACTAAAACATGGATCTCTAGCTTCCTCAGCCACCGACGCCAAGCAGTAGTGGTGGGCGGTACAAGCTCCTCCTTTGTCAATGTGAAGTCAGGGGTCCCCCAGGGATCAGTCCTGGGCCCCTGTTTGTTCCTAGCATACATTAATGACCTACCGGAGAAACTGACATCACAGGCAAGACTGTTTGCAGATGACACAGCAGTGTATAGAACGATCGCCAACAGATCTGACCAGGACCAGCTACAACAGGATCTCAATCTGTTAGCTGAGTGGGAGATGAGCTGGGACATGGAATTTCACCCTGCCAAGTGCCAGACACTATCAATCTCTAGAAGTTGTACTCCTCTACACTACCAATACAAACTGCACGGCCATATACTTGAGCAAGTTTCCTCCGTAAAGTACCTGGGTGTTACCATTCAAAGAGAGGTCCGCTGGGACGAGCATATTAACAATGTATGTAACCAAGCAAACCAAGCCTTGGGGTTCTTAAAGCGAAATCTAAAGATTGGCAACTCCTGTGTGAAAGAAAGAGCATATAAAGCCTTTATCCGTCCGATTTTAGATTATGCATCTTCAGTCTGGGACCCATTTACCCAGAAGAGCATTGACAGGTTGGAGGCGGTCCAGCGACGAGCAGCACGTTTTGTCCTAAGCCGCTACAGGAATACCTTTAGTGTTGGCAGCATGCTAGAAACACTAGGCTGGTCACCATTGGAGAAACTACGACGACAATCCAGGCTCTCCATGATGTATAAGATAAATAATGGGCTGATCCACTGTTCCAGTATTAAACAGAAACTCGTCCCTCTCCCCCATAGACAGCGACGAGGCCATGACAGGCAATTCAGGCTCATACCAGCAAGAAGCCAGTATAGGAGCTGCTCATTCCTGCCCAAGACAATCAGGGACTGGAACAATCTTTCAAAAGGAACGGTTGAGGCGACAACACTAGACACATTTGTGTCTATTGCCTCAAGCCTTCAAACCCCCAGTGCATGATTCCCTCACAAAGTGGCACTGGAAATCTGTGAAATTTCCTCATCAACACCAGGAACAGAAACATTGCAAATCCCATCTACATGCATAGGAGCCAAAATGATCAATAAATTGATCGTGGGCCCTTAAGATATAGAAGAAGAAGAAGAAGAGTACACCATACTGACCAGTGGAGTGCACCACATTGACCAGTGGAGTACACCTTATTGACCGGAGGAGTACACCAAGCTATTTAATGCAATCAATGATTCAGACAAATATGTGTCAACACTAATAATTATCTCCACCCAGTACTTTATTAAACAAGAAAAAGCATAATTTTTTTTTTTTTTCAACATTTTGTTCAATAAGTAATACACAAAGAAATTTGATAAACCACTACAAACAGTTTTAGTATATGATCTTAAAGAAATTATAACAGCAAGGGAATACTTATGACTATCTTCATATATTTGACAACATTTAGATGTAAATAACGGATAATAATTCCAGAAAACCTTCGGAACTGGCTTGTTTTAATTTGTCTTAACGACTGTCACAAGAAGTATTCCCCATGGGTCTAGAGGGCAACACTTGAATACAAGTCTTCTGAGTTGTTTTGTATTTATGTAACTGAACCGCTGGCAGAAACTCACCTGAATACATGCATGTAAACATGAGGCCCAATGCTGCCAGTGCTCTCTGTGGGTTTGGTAGACACAGCCTGTAAGGTATCATGGCAGGGTTTTTAAAGGGAAACACAGGGCTCATACTGTTTAAGAATTATAGCTACACTTTAAAATACTGGAAGGAACAAGATTACAATGAGAAACTTTCACAATTGATAAAATGTGTTAAGATATTTTTTAATAGAGTCCAGCCCTACAACCGTTTCAAAGGATACAATTGTCAAAAAGGCATATTCCAGTCTTCTGACTGTTTTACTGACATTCAGCGATGACAGATATAGACCTGACTTTAAAACAGATAGTCCCACAACTTGACCACAAATATTGGTATCTTTTAAATATAGTCCATACTGACTATAAATCTTACTACCTTATGACTGCAGATATCTCCACCTTAAGACTACAGATAGTTCCATATTATGTTTCCATCTCATGGCAACACATATTACCACCTTAAGAATACAGATATCTCCAACTTATGACTACAGATATTTCCACCCTACAAATAAATATAAATATGTTCATATAATGACCATTTGCCATTGATTAACTGGTGAATCTAATCTTCACAGTACAAGCACTTACCTGTCCATGCTAAGTTTAATGATAGTTTCTGTGTCACTCTGTGTCAGTACATCTATCAACAGCAGCCTCTCTGTGCCTTTCATGACAGTCAAGAAAACTGAAGTAGAAACATTTTCTTCATTCCCTGAAGCTGTCTGCACCACGAGCTGAGGATCAAAGGGAATTTATCATTTTAATCATGGCCTAATTCTCTCCCATTTATCTTAAGTTTCCACTAGTGATGCATGCACCTTTTAAAAGAAATATCAATAAGACAAAACTTCTTTCCCCTTTTCAATTCCATAATTTATATCTTTGAATCATATTTACAATACCTGAATTGTTTTTGAAGTAAAATCTGAGTCTTTGAGTTCATTACTAAAATTTTCAATAATGTAGAAAGCTACTGCCCACATAATGATGACAAACTGTTGGCTGATGATACACGTTCTTTTAGGGAAGGAAAGAGATCATATGTGCAATCAATGTTTAATTTATATTAAAATTATTAAGATTTTATTTACATATATTTCAGCTTTGCAAAATATAAAAATTCACAAAGTATAAGAAAATATGCAATAATATTAGAATAAAATGTTATTTTCATTTCAGTTTTTTTCACTTCAAATGTAAACATGTACAAATACAATTATAGAATTAACCCTTTTATTTTTAAATTTATTTTATTATATGTTGTTGTTTTTTTTACTTTGAAAAATAATTATTGGTAACAAAAATTCTAAATTTATCTAGTAATGAAGAATCAATGTTTGGTTAACATTATTTTTATTTCCATACTGTGATATAACAATTGCCAGATGTTTTGAGAGGAAGTCTGTAAGAATAGGTAGCAGGCTGCTGTTGAGTTCCGAGGGTCCACCCTCTAGTAAGTACAGGGCCCCATGGAGAGATGAGATCTTGGTAGGTAGGTGAGTGCTCTTAAGTCCAGACTCAATAAGCTTAACAACACGCTCACTGATCAGTGCTTCCTGTTAATGGTTTATGGAAAATTATCGCACCTGGACACCAAGCAAACTACTAAATTTATAAAGCATCTTTGAACTTTAATGATTTACAAGTTTACTTTAGTTATGAACACAAAGGCAAAAAAAATCTGTCTTGTAAAATATATTTTTCCAGGATATAACAGTTCAGTGATCCCAAAAACTTTCAGTGAAATAGACCTTTAGAACATCAACTACTTTGCAGCAAGGACCACTGCCAAATTGTTTTGTTATTATGCACTTAAAATCTTTTTACATTCTTTACCTTCTGCGGAGCAGACCTTGAGGGCTCATTGACTTTTTTTTAAAAATCAAATGTCCAATTTATTTGTAATAATAATATAATTTTAAATATTATGGTTCCTGTAAATGAATGCAGTTTTAGTCTAATGTAGGTCAAGACATATTATCTAAACAAATATAGTTCAATTTTGTCCTTTACCATTTGTTAATGATTGGCAAAAAACAATCTTTTACCATGAGTTATTTTACTCGAAGGTTTCTTTTGTTCATAAATCTTTTGAATTAAAAAGTAGAAGCTTACAAGCTAAAACTATCTTCACAAAAATCAGGGGATCCATGGTTAAGGCAGCAGTACAATTATATCAGGGAATCCATGGTTAAAGCAGCAGTACAATTCTGATAATGGTTTGAAACAGGCACAAAGGGAAACTTGCAATTATTGCTGCTGTGTGTGACATAAAGCTAACATTAAAGCACAAACATTTATTTTTCAGAATCTTTTTTAACTTAACCTTCGTTACGTATTTTTGCCTTGAGAGGGCAATACATCATGCATAGCTAACAAAATTAAAATTTAACCAAGACTTACCGTGCCAACAATAGCAGTGGCCTTGCACATGCCAACAATGAGATATTGTGTGATGAGCTCATCTTCCACAGGATGACCCTTGAGGAGGTCCAAGAGTATGTCCTGCATAAACTCAAACTGTTCCCGCTCCATGAATAGGTCAGAGAGGCACACCATCTGGTCATTCAAATATTGATCAAAATTGATTGATTTGGCTCAGTATCGTCACCAGAAATTATCAAAATTTTAGCTTGCATTGGCAGCTACACAAAGTTAAAAACAACTTACAGCTTTGACAATAGAAAAAAATAAAATCTTACAGTTGTGACAACAGAAAAAATTAAACAACTTACAGATTTGACGACAGAGTTGAGAAGCATCAGTGGAGGCTTAGGGTTGTTGTCTATGTGAAGCCAGGCTCCATACAACTCCAGGAGGAACTGTAGACAGGAATGAATGTCCAGACCGCAGTGATGAACCGACCTAGCCGTGGAGAGCCTACCCCCGCTCGATGAGGAGGCTGACGATGGAGAGGTGGCTGCCATGTCCCCACGACCGGTTGGACTGTCCAGAGAATCAGTTGTGTCTGAGTTGGACAGGTTGGTGTCAAGGCTGCCTACTAAAGACCATGTTGACTCAATGGATATCTAGGTAGAAATATTTAAACAGTTAAGTTACTTGAAGCTATAATTTTTATATATGAGTCAGTGACATGTTTGAGTTGACAATTTATAGTGGTGTTTATCTGAGTCAGTGACATTTTCCAATTCAATTTGTATCTAATGTGCTTGCTAAACTTGTAATTTTAATGACAAAAATATAAATTTGACAATTTTTTTTAACGAACTTAATTTCTAAAGGCTAATTAGCAAAATAAAACACAACAGAAAGAGTCCACTCATAAACATAGCTCTACAAATAATGGAAAAATGGGTAAATGCTCTTGTTATCAGACTATAAAAATCTAAATCAAAAATGTGTTGGCCTACCTGGCCTAAACTAAACTCTTTTGATCAGACCACACAAAATCTTGATCAAAAACTTGCATTGACCTACCTGGCCTAAACTGAAATCTTCCACACCCAGCTCCCTTTCCAGGTTGCCATCAAATAAGTTTGGACTGGACTTGTCTGATGGACTGCCACTGTAAGCTTGGGGTACCAACCTGTCTGGCCTGTTTTAACAAATTTTAAAGTTTCTATAGCATTCATTGTATCTACTCTGTATGGTGGAAGTATTGCTGGCTCTTGATAATAAATTGGAGCAAGTTAAGAAAGAGAACACTATTTTAAAAAATGACGGGACTCTCTTGAACATGGCACCTAGTTATACATTAGTAAGAAGTTAAAATGTTGGATGGCTGTGCGATCTAAATTGTGTCAATTCCAAGTTTGAGGACTGGAGTTCAATCCTCAGCAAAAGCCCAGACAAGCAAAATCATCAAGAGCACACCTGTAGGATGGGACTGTTCATCGTGGATGGCAACTCATCTAAGAGAAGGAAAACTCAGACTTCAGGACCTGGATTCCCCTGGGCGGTATGACATTAACTTAATGAAACATTCCAGCAACTCCAGAGACCCTGCAGGTGCCAAGCTGTATCATCCACAGTGACACCAGATGTTAGGAGAGAGGTGATTTGCTGTCAAGAGAATCAGCTTATCCTCTTAAATAAAAATTCAAGGCCTTCTGATTTCATCCTTCGAAGTCCACACCATCGTCACATTGTAGTGGACGGATGCCAAAACAAACCATAAATTAATTGTTTAAAATAAGCTGTTATTTCAATAAGTAATTGTCTAAAGGGCTTGTAGAAAATATCTGAAAACTAAAGGTCTACTATAAAACAGTCAATGAGTAAATAAGTTAACAACCATAGCAAAAGAATCATTAATGATTGAATTATATTATCTTGAAATATCAGTAAGTATAATTCTAAAAAAAAACATTTAAACAGAATAATTTTCTTTCCAACTGTTACAGCTGGCAGCAATTCAAACAAGAAATGTAAACACTGCTTACTATTTTAATAATGAAGCCCTTACCTGGCAGCACACAAGTTGACAATCTCCTTCTCAATAAGACCTCTGATCACAGACAACTTTTTACCGCATCTGTGGGTAGAAAAGTAAAACATTTTTTCTTATGATCATTATCACCAAGCCAATGGTTGCCCCTCAAAGATGAAAACATATTCTTATAATGATCTGATATAATATATGGACCTTGTGCCATTAAGGCAGCAGTTCTCTAAACATCATCTCCCTTTACAGTTTGCAATTACTGGAGGCCTTTTGAAGAATGTCTATGTGCCATGTCCACCAAACTGACCAAAGAACTTTGTTTCCATCATCACTATTTCATGATTTGATTTATTCCTTTAATTATTATTAGAGTTAGAATTGTTATTAATGAGTACAGTAACTGCCATTTTGGAAAAAGGTGTATAGCCTCAATTTTTAGGGTATGAAAAAAAAAATTAACAAACACTTGTGTTTACCTTGTGTGTAGGAAAGCAAGGGGTTTATCTCTTGGTCTGGTCTCATAGTAGCTATTTGAAGGATTCCCTGCATGGGGTACCATTGATGACTGCAGTAGAAGTGAGGTGATGGCTTTAACAGCAATGACCATGCCTTGGGCTTGCTCTATCTCCTCCTGGTACACACAAGATACATCAGATAGGGTAAAATCAGGCACCTCTTAACTAGTGGACTAAAAAATTTTATATACAAAATATTTTTTTTTACATTTTTTCCCTACATATAATCTCATATATAAAATACAATGTTTACTAATTCCGATTCATAATAACCTCCCAGCAATCTTGTTGCTAGAATTTACAGGTTGCTGATAATTTAAATTTTAATCCAGAAATATATTTTAAGTTCTTTTGAACAATGTTTTCCTATTGTAGAATGCTGCCAAATTGACTAATAAGAAAATGAATTTAATTTGTAAGTTTATTATGATGAATAAATGAATTTTACTTCAGCCGACAGGTCATGCCCCGTATGAGAGACTGGATTTAACACACCAAGTAAGCTCATCCAGCTCTCCTCAAACTGTTGGCGGTTGACCCAACCTGATAGAAACAATATTAAAAGGGTGCATTTTTTTAAAATGACAAATTACAACAGGTGATAAAAGATGCTTTGGCAATAAAATAGTTTTCTTAAATGTGCCACTGGCAACACATTTCTCTTTTTCTAAACAGAAATATTTTTAACTAATAGCCTACTATTTGGCTAAAGTCAATTTTTGTGTGAATTTGTCTGAGAGATGAAAGTTTATTTTATACCCAGTGAGCTAATTCTTGTCACAAACTCCTTGAGAACATCTTTTTCCTGCAAATACTCCACGGGTAAAGGAGGTAGACAGGTGCGCAGTTCTCCTACAGGTGTAGGGGACCAACCGAGTCTCCAAACTAAGGGAGGGGTACGGGCATAAGTGTTTACTGCTGGCAGTCTGGCTACAGCTGATGAGTAAAAGAAAAAGTGTAACTAACAAGACATCAAGTCTTATTTAACAAGGGAAGTTCATTTGCAGAAAGTTTTTAAATCAAAATGATCAGGCTTTTGACAAGTTTCAACTTAATATTTTAACGACATTAACGCGATCAAATTCACAAGATTTAAAAATTTTAATAGTTTAATTTTGGGTGCTTATCGACAATTATTTATGAGCTTAAGTTCAAACTCAAATTCTCACAATACTCACATCATAAATTTATCTTGATTAACTCTGAAAGGCTTTAGTGCATTAAATACATTTTTAATACCAAAATTTATGAGGGCTATGATGTAAAGCACTTTTTTTTTAAAACTCAGCTTTAGATTTAATTTAGCAGCAGCCTCCATAGCTTTGGCTTCCTCTCACAAGCAAGTTTAATACTGGAACGGTTTGATTACCAATGATTATATTTCTGAAAGTTGAGGCCAGGAACTGTGGCAGTCGTGGCTCGTGTGATGTGTTGGGGTCCAGGCGTGTGTGCAGGCAGTGGACCAGCTCTGATATCTCATCACATGCTCTGATCAAACATGCAGATAAGGAAACTGAAAAGAGCAAAGACTTGAATCAACTTTGGGATGGCAAGTGGAATCAATCTCAACTCAGTACAACTTACTGACTTATAGTACCATATTAACCAATGTTTTCATAATAGAGAATCATTGAACTACAGACTAAGGATTCTTAACCATAACCGATTGGCCCCAAAAAAAATGATATCAACATTCATAGTATGGGCCAAATCAACTCAAGCAAAGCAAATTATATTTTATATTTATTATGTAAACTAGATAAAAAAATAAAATCTTTGACATTTTTAAATTCAACTCCAAGCAAGGATGAAATGCAATGAGATTATTATTTTAAAACTAGGTCAAGAATACAGAATACATGATTGAAATATAAATACAAAAATGGTACAACGTACTCACCATCCTCTTCTTCTGCATCATCCCTACGATCATCTTGGAACAGACATGCTACATTTTCACCAGGGAGTACTGCCACTGAAATCAAAACACAATGATTTTGGCCTTAAATCCTAATATAACTGAAGAGTTACAAATAATCCCCTTATGATAATTAAGTGAAGTAAAAGTATACATGATTTTTTATTTTACTTGCAAAAACAAAGGAACAGCTCTATTGAAGTTAAGAGAAATTAGTTAATTAACATTTCTGTATTATAATAAAATTAAATAATTTGGTCCATTTTCTTAACAAGCTTTACAAGGACTCATCTACTAGTCTCTGAATAAGCAATAAAACATTTTAAAGTCTCATCAATCCTTTCTGTAATATAAACATAAAGATCAACTTACTGGAACATAAAAGTTGGTAGAGAAATCCCACAATACTACAGACAAATGTAGCATGTTCTGTCTGACTCATCAGTGCATGTACAGCAGGGTCTTGCAGGAGTAGAGACAAACAAGACAAGCAGTTCTGGATGTGCTCAGACTCTGGGAGCATGTCATGTTCTACAGACCAGTGGATCAGCTGCAACAAGAGAATTACAATAACCTAAGATGCAAAACTTTATGTGAAGATAGACTAAATAAAATATTTGAAAACTCATATTGAGCTGGAAGATTATATTTCCAAGCAACGTTTTTTTGTCTGTCCATGCACAAACTAGTCATCTCTAGATAATTAGCATAACCAAAGAGGTTTTGATAATTTAACTCAATAAAAACACAAATATCAATACTACTGTGATTGTGTCAATACTACTGCCTGTCAATACTACTGTCACTGTGTCAATACTACTGTCATTGTGAAGCCCCTAGAGGTGATGCAAGAAGCTTACTAATTGTTAACCACCTCACCTGTCTCCTTGCCCAACTACAGTCACAAACATTTTTTTTTTAAAAGTCCACATCAGTGGTTTTCATTGGGGGGGGGGGGGGGGGGTGTTTTAAAAATGCTAAGCTGATTATTATTTTTTTTGTTGGCGGGAGGGTCTACATCAGTCCTTGAGGCAACAGCCAAAAAAACACCACTTCATCCTATCTGCTGCTACAATGAAAGCTGTTAGCAAAGATGACACTGATAGGACGATTGAAAGTCTGAGAGTATGAAATCAATTCAAGAGTTAACAAACCTCAGCGCAGAGCACAACGAAACTAGCCACATCTTTCAGGGACTCAGGGGGCAGCTCTGCTCTCCACGGAAACTGATGGATAGCTACCATGTAACGGACCAGGGCAGATGCTAGACAGAAATTATTGTCCACCCACTGGGCATCAGTAAATAACTCTTCAATGCGGTCCATATAATGTAAACTAGAGGCTGGAGCCGAATCTGAAAGAAATCAATAGGTAGGTAGGTATTAGTTCTTATTGTACCAGTGCTTTAAGAAGGGTTAACTAATTATATCAGTGTTGGACTGCGATAAAGCTTTCTTCTTCTTCTTTATTTTGAGGGCCCACGATCAATGAATTGATCATTCGGGCTCCTATGTTTCAGAGGGGTTTGCGATGTTACTGTGCATGGGTTTCAATGGGATGCTTCACTGGTTGCAAGGGTGACTCAGAAGTGGTGTTACGAACTGGGGGTTGGAATACAGGAGGCAATAGACACAAATGTATCGAGTGTAGCCGCCTCAACTGTTGCTTTTGGAAGCTTGTTCCAGTCCCCTATTGTCTTCGGCAGGAATGAGGAGCTCCTGTACTTTGTTCTTGTTTTTACCAGCCGGAACTGTCTGTCGTGGCTTCGTCGCAGTCTAGGGGGAAGATGAACGAGTTTCTGTTTGATTCCGGAGCAGTGGACCAGCCCATTTTTTATCTTGTACAACATGGTGAGCCTGGATAGTCGTCGTCGTTCTTCCAATGTAGACCAGCCCAGTGTTTCCAGCATGCTGCCAACACTCGAGGTGCTTCTGTAACGGTTCATGACAAAGCGTGCTGCTCGTCGCTGGACAGCCTCCAACCTGTCGATGCTTTTCTGGGTAAATGGGTCCCAGACTGTAGAAGCGTACTCTAAAATAGGCCGGACAAAGGCTTTATAAGCTTTTTCTTTCACGCTTGAGTTTCCGATCTTCAGATTGCGCCTTAGGAACCCCAGGGTCTTGTTTGCCTGGTTGCACACACTGTTAATGTGCTCGTCCCAGCGGACCTCTCTTTGAATGGTAACACCCAAGTACTTTACGGAGGAAACTTGCTCAAGAATATGACCATGCAGTTCGTAAGAGTGCTTTAGAGGGAATCTGCTTCTGGAGACTGACAGAGTCTGGCAATTGACGGGATGAAATTCCATGTCCCAGCTCATCTCCTACTCAGCTAACCGATTGAGGTCTTGTTGAAGCTGGCTCTGGTCAGAGCTGTTTACGATTGTCCTATATACCGCAGTGTCGTCTGCGAACAGTCTTGCTTGAGAGGTCAGCTTCTCGGGCAGATCATTGATATATGCTAGGAACAAACAAGGGCCTAGCACTGAGCCCTGGGGGACCCCTGACTTAACACCGACATAGGAGGAGGTTTTGCCAAAACATGGTGAGCCTGGATAGTCGTCGTCGTTCTTCCAATGTAGACCAGCCCAGTGTTTCCAGCATGCTGCCAACACTCGAGGTGCTTCTGTAACGGTTCATGACAAAGCGTGCTGCTCGTCGCTGGACAGCCTCCAACCTGTCGATGCTTTTCTGGGTAAATGGGTCCCAGACTGTAGAAGCGTACTCTAAAATAGGCCGGACAAAGGCTTTATAAGCTTTTTCTTTCACGCTTGAGTTTCCGATCTTCAGATTGCGCCTTAGGAACCCCAGGGTCTTGTTTGCCTGGTTGCACACACTGTTAATGTGCTCGTCCCAGCGGACCTCTCTTTGAATGGTAACACCCAAGTACTTTACGGAGGAAACTTGCTCAAGAATATGGCCATGCAGTTCGTAAGAGTGCTTTAGAGGGAATCTGCTTCTGGAGACTGACAGGGTCTGGCACTTGACGGGATGAAATTCCATGTCCCAGCTCATCTCTCACTCAGCTAACCGATTGAGGTCTTGTTGAAGCTGGCTCTGGTCAGAGCTGTTGACGATTGTCCTATATACCGCAGTGTCGTCTGCGAACAGTCTTGCTTGAGAGGTCAGCTTCTCGGGCAGATCATTGATATATGCTAGGAACAAACAAGGGCCTAGCACTGAGCCCTGGGGGACCCCTGACTTAACACCGACATAGGAGGCTCAAGTGGCTCAATGAGATACAAACAATTTGTGTAAATAAAACAATAAAGGTTAGGCTTTATTTTTTTAAGAAGGGTTGCACCGATTGTAGGCAGATAGTACGTAATCATGCCAAATCTAAAATTTTTCAGATTAATCTATACTAAAGACTTTTCACTGAAATGGCAATGTCAATTATAAAGTCAATATCAATCTATAACAAAGACAATACTTGTTTTCTTTGAACTACTTTTCTTTAAAATATAAATAAATTCTAAGATAACATTTGAATTTTTTTAAACTTGGGCAATCATTTTTAAGAACTGTTTATATTTATAACTAGGTAGCTCACACCTGCAACAGTTAGGTCTAACTAGTTTAACAGAGCTATCTTCCTACCAATAAACACTAGACACTGGTGGGGAAGAGGCAGCTGGATGACCATATTGTTGATGTGGCGGAACAAGGTCAGCTGGGAAGCCTGGAACAGAGGGTCAAGTGTGTGCTCATTTGAGGCTGGCTGAGGACTCAATGACCCAAGATCAACATCACGGTTGTACCGCAGAACTGACCGGAAAGCACCAAGGGACATGCACTCTTCCAGAATGGACAAGTTAAATTCCTAAAATTAATGAATGTGGAAAAGAAATTAGAATTATTTTTATTGATAGCATACTTGGTTGCATCAGAGAATTTTGTCCCTGTCAAGGAGAAATTATTTTAGTTAGATTTTAATGTGCATCAATCAAGTCAGGTCTTAAAATTATCTTAAGAAGAAATTATTATTGTGATTTTATAAATGGTTACATTTAGTATCCAGTTTACATGTTCAGGTCTCAAACTTTAAATCAATTAATATGAATTTTTTTTGGTTAAGTTTACAAATTATTATTTTTAAATAACCAGCAAAGCTTTATATTTTATTTGCTAAATCCTAAAACGAGTCATTGACTCTCAACTAAGAAATCAATAAACTAATTGATTTGACTCCAGCACATTGAATTAATCACATGACATTATTATTTCCCCTTACTTTTGTCATAGTAATAGAAAGTATGTCTGGGTAGTCTAGTCTCTGCAGTAAAAAAGCACATTCTCTTGTGTTGGGCGTAGCCATGAAACATTGCTCCTTCACTATTGATAGGTAGAACTCCTTGGAACAGAAAAAAAAAAAATTCTTTAAACAGAAGGAACAGTTCAAAGACAGGCAAAGTTTTTTCTTCTCTTTAACTCTGTTAGATTTAAGGTATAATCTGGATGGACCCACTTTAGGTAAAATTCACTCCATAAAAATGCCATTGGCAGATGCATGTTGAACCATCAAAAATATAGATAACATAAATAACTTCTATAGTCAAACCACATTTTATTACCTAAATCAACATTTACAACACATAGAACAAGCAACAGTTAAACATATGAGCCAGAATGATCAATGCATTCATCATGGGGCCTCAAAATATAGAAGAACAACAACAAATTTTGGTGGCTCAAACCTTTCACCATCAAATTAAGTAATGCAACACCAGCAATGGCATTTGAAACTTTACAATGAAACTTTTTTTTTAAATATAATTTTACTGATTTTTTAAAATTAATTCTACAAAATTTGTACAATATGAAAAAGCGTTTTGCATGGTCTCATATTTGCCTAAATAGCCCTTTACATCAGACATACACATCATTTTACTTTGGTTTAACTCTAAATGTTTCTATATAAGCTCAGGTCTCTACTGCTTGTTTCTAGCAGGTGTATTTTCAATTTCCCTTTGACATTCAGTTGTTCCCAGTTAACTGACAGGGTACAGGCTAGTCAATATATAGAGAAAATACTGGGTAATTTAAATCTGCGAACAAGTTACCTTGTCTATGCTGATTTTAGCAACATCCACTGGGACTACGGAGAGGGGATGAGATCTCTCTGGAGAAAGTTTGATCTGTGCTGTAGACCCAGCTGCTATGCAGAGCTTGCTGAGAAGTGATGCTAAACGTTGATGTCTAAAGGAATAAAAAAAGGAGAGATTATCATTAAAGCAACTCTCTAGCTGTTCAAGTCTAGTTTGTTTGATCAAATTTTACAGGAGAGAGTAAAGACTATATAGGGGACCATGAGGTTTTGAATTATTTTATTATATCATGTCACAAAAAAATGCAATTTCCAAAAAATCAAGAAGATTTTTTTTAATATTTATAGCAGATTGAATAATAATACATAAATATAATGTTAAAATTATTTGCTATTGCAAATTTAGAGAGATGCAATGACATGTATTTTGTAACATTGCAACTGACTATCAGTTGGTAAAGAAGAAAACAATGTCCTTAGTTAAACGTTGACTCACCTTTGTATCAATCCGTTTGACTTCATGAATTGTAACTGCTTTTCTATATCTTCTTTAGGCAGCTGCTTGGCTATTTCCTAGAATTTAAAGTCATGCAGTAGGACAAGCAATATATCTTGTCTTCTAACAAAACAATTTACAATTTGGCTTAATGTAAAATCTTAAGAACTCAATAGAAAACAAGTACTAATAATGGCTGTTGGTTTCTTCACACTTTTTAGTGCCAACATTTTTAAAATACATCCTTATGGTTGATAATGAAGAGATAAATTTTAAAAAACATCAACTTACTTCAGCTGTTTCCCCTAGAAGACTCTCCAGTCTTTGGCATACAATAGAGTCTGTCATCCTGGTGATAGCAAGCCTATGACAGCCCAGAAACTTGTCAATCAGCAGAGCCACCAGTGATCCACTTTGAGAAATATGGATAGCATCCAGACATTTGAGAGTCCTCTTTACCATGGATGGCTGGATGTAAACACAAAATCTGTTAACATTTCATTTATTAAATGCACTCAATTAATATTTGCATGCCCCATAAAACATCAACCTGAACTTTAAGAACTAGAATATCAAGTGTTCATGACCAAAACAACTAAAAATATCACGATCACATAAAATTTTGTATACAGGCTTTTGCTGCTTTTTTCTTTTTTTTTGGAAGATCAAGAGCTGCTGAATCAGGCATGTAAAGCAACAACCATCAGGTAACATGATCTAAAAGGGCTGGAATATTTACCTTTGTGATGCTGTCTCCTCTTGCATGAATAGCTTGAATAAACAAACTGCTGGCAGCTGAGTTGCGGTGAATGGCACTGTAGAAAAAGTTGGATCGTATAAAAAAAAATGTAAGCTTTGCACTAGGTTCTCAAAGATGTAAATAGTAATTTAAAGAAACCATGATTTTCTTGAGTCCACAGCCCATCTTAATCCTACAGGAAGTAATGAGGGTCTGTAGCATCAAATCAGAACTTAAAGTTTTTCAGACACATGATTGCATCAATTAAAAATTCAATGCAGTTTTGTAATATTACTGTTAACAGGCACAAAATTTGGAAATATGACAATCAGCATAATTAATGTCTCATTTTACAGCAAATATTATATTAAATGAGTTGAGTACATTACATTTTTCTCTCCATGTGTCAAAATTGATAAATATTATGTGAGATCACTCATGGCATTTAACACTTGCCTGATAAAATCTTGCACAGGGGATTCATTTGAGAGCAGTATGAGGTCACTGACATGATTAATTATGAGCCAGGTCATGTGCTCTGCATCACTTAAGTTTTCACACTGTAATATTAAATAAATTTAACTTATCACAGGTGAGTCAGGAGTATTTTGTAGGCCCTAAAGATACTAACCATAACAACACAGGAAAACTTGATAAACACAAAAAAAGCTATATTTTTTATCTCAGCCAATAGCTTTTTTTTTCAAATGCCAAGAAGGAAAAAATTCCATTCAATTAAATGAGAAAAAAGTCAATATTAAAAAATAAAAACACATGAAATTACAAGGCAAATAGAGCCGTCATAAAAAAAAAACTATTACTTAATCAAATTATGAAGTTAATAATTTTTTTTATAAGTTTTGGTTACAAGTTGTAACGATATTGGCTTACTAAAGGCATATGAATCGACAGACATGATGAGAGTTCTGTTTAAAGACTGACCACATAATCACAGAACAGAATAAGTCCTCCTCTTCTTAACATTTCCAAGCCACAACACTCAGATGATCTAGGCAGGTGACGGACACTTGCATCATTATCATCTGTGGTTAAAGTGGTTTCCCCTCTGAAAAACAGTCAGTCAAAATAGCATGGAACAGTCAGTAAAAATAGTATGGAAAATATAGTATGGAACAGTCAGTAAAAATAGTATGGAAAATATAGTATGGAACAGTCAGTCAAAATAGTATGGAAAATATAGTATGGAACAGTCAGTCAAAATAGTATGGAAAATATAGTATGGAACAGTCAGTAAAAATAGTATGGAAAATATAGTATGGAACAGTCAGTAAAAATAGTATGGAAAATATAGTATGGAACAGTCAGTCAAAATAGTATGGAACAGTCAGTATAAATTATATGGAACATTTCAAACCTGATAAGTTGCAACCTTCCTGTTATCAAACTACATTTTTTTAAATAATTTTTTTTAATAAACAATAATTTTTTAAAACCATAGTGCGGTTAAAGCAAAAAAAAAAAGTACACCAAAATAGGCACAGAAAAAAAATTAGTTGAGAAGACATGTTTATAGATCTTAGAGCTGCTTCATTGCCTCTAAAAAAATTTGTGTAAATAATTAGAATAAATGGGCACTGCTCTGTCAGTTTACCTTGTTCCTGTGCTCTTATATGTTGGTGGACTTTGCACCACACGGGTCCACAGACCTCTGTCATCAAAGTTGAGCAGGATGAGCACATTACACCAGTGTAAGGTCAAGGCTGGACACACACTGCTCACTCCCACCATGTGTTCATTAATCTCACCAACACTGTACATACAAGCTGGTGAATCAAGCTGCAGCAGACCCATGGCTGCAGTGGCCACACGTCGAAACAGACCTAAAAGTAATAGGATGGTATGTTTTTGAAATAAACTAGTTAAATTTTTCAGGGAGCATTTAATAAATATGGATAAAACAAGATTAACAAAGTTGACAAACATCATGAATATATAAGAAACTAATATTAGGAGCATTATACAAACAAATTTGAGTTCATGTGGCTTTGGCTTCACAGTATGTGTGTAAACATTGATGTAATTACTTCAAATATAATGGTTGACCTAAATGTTTCATGTATTACAATTTTTGATTGTCACAATAATCTTGTATAGGATATAATTGAAATATTTATAATAATGAATGAATAAAACTACCTGATTGAAACATGTGTGTAATGTAGAGCATCAGGTGCAATGTCTGCTGCAACAGGAAATGACACCTGCTTACAATGATACCATTGCCATTGCTTGTAGAGTAGCTTGGACCATTGTAGTTTGATCCAAGAAGTGAAGTTTCTTTATTCAACATTTCAGAGCATTTCCCTATTACTTGAAGTAAAAACCTGAAAGAAAAACAATTTAGAAATAAATTTAAAGCACTAAAAACGCATAGCTTTTAAATTTAGATGTTAACAACATTACTGTGATTTCATTTAAGCACCAACAATTTAATTATTGCAAATTATTTTTTATTAACTATCTACAAAGTTATATAGTTGAAACAAGAAACATTATAAAAGCCTAAAGGTGATGATGAAACTGAAGATGTGTTATGTTAGCTCACCAAGCAACAGTCTCTTCTGGAGCTAGGTTCCTCAGCAACTCCACAACAGAGTTAGCTGCTGATGTACCAGAGTTGTCGAGGTCACGGATGAGACAGACATGGAGCTGTGTAAGAAAGAAACTTGGCAAGCTTATAATCTGTTACAATGTTGTACACTGCGTGACAATTATCTAGCTGTGTGTAAAATGTGAAAAGAGTTGAAATACCTGTAGTTCTGTTAGTCTGGATAAAATGACTTCTTCCTTGGATTGGGAAATCAGAACCCTGACGATGATGAGAACTAGACACAACCATTTCTGAAGACTTGAAACATCACTCTGAAAATATAAAAAATGTGTTACTGAGCTTGATATCTATCTTCCTTCGTGTTTTTTTACAAATTAAATATATCACTGCAGAAAAATGATAATGTCAATTATACAAATGGAACAATTAGATAAACTTTTAACTGTTTTGTTAAAGGTCAAATCCCCAGGGGAACTGGACAGTTGGTAGTGACCCATGTGCCTGGAAGTGCAAGGTCATTTAGCATTGAGTATTGCCAGGTTTCCAGTAAAAAGGCTTCTCCTAATAGTTGATTCAAAGAATGTAACATTACATCTGGCACAGCTTTGATGTGGTCATTGGGTCAGAGTTGTGGAAAAGTTGCATTCCATCAAGGATAAATAAAATATTCTTTATTCTTGATTGAAGGGAGAGTACCCAGTAATCCATTCCCCCACACCACCCAAAAAAAAACTCATTTCAAAAGGGAAAGGTCACAACTTCTTACCACATCATGGGGCGGAGCCAGCAGGGTCTTGAGGAGGAAGTCAACTGGTCGGAACACACTTGGTGACACAGACTCAAACAAACGGTGTAAGACATCCAAAGCATCTTGACTTTCTAAGTTTATCTGCAAATAATTTTCTTCCATCATTTGCTACATGTGAATAAATCCTTTAAATCAAAAAGGCATGTTGTTGTATAGATATATAAATGTGATGCCTGGCTAACAAAAATCTGAGTTATTGACAGATTTAACAACATGTGTTGTTATAAAAATTGGATCCATTGTCCTTTTTAAAAAAGTACACAAAGCATTTTGTAAAACATAATTGTGCCAATAAATTTGAGGACATCAAAACATGTAACAGCCATGTAACCAGATCCAAGTCTAATTACCTGGTGTCTCAGCCACCAAAAAAATATATCTGCTTTATCTAGTCTATATATGTCCTACCTGCTGTTTGGCAAGAGCAGGTAGTACGGCATCCATGACCTGGCGTGATAACCTTTTCCACCTCTCCTCACTCTCTCTGTGGCACTGTTGCAACACTAGGGTGAACATATCTAGTGCCTACAAAATGAATATAGCAGAAACCAATTGTGGCAAGAAATTATTTGAAACTAAGACAAGAACTTGAAAAAAACAATATTAAACAATTATTAAATATTTTCTGACAAATGTTGGATGAGAATAATGATATTGTTTTTGTTTTGTTTGTTTTTTTTAAATTGTAGTTTTTAAGTAAATTTATTTTATTTAATTTTAAAATAATGCCACATCTGTTGAACTCTTTCCTAAAGTTTCAGTTAGAGCCTGGATAGGAGATGTGTAATTGACAGTTTTACTTTCACTTAAGGAAATACCTGGTAATACTGTACAAGTCTCAGCAGCATGGAAACTACAACTTCCCTCTGAGTCTCCAGATCCTTCCCCACCTCTGATTTAACTGTGCCCCTCAGGAGGAACAGGTCATACACAACCGGGCGCAGGGCAGGAATGGCTGGAGTTCAATCAATAGTAAATATTATTTTTTTATCCCAAAGTTAAGTAAAGTAACTAAACGGGCATGAAGTTATGTACTGTTAAACATTGATGCCTCAAAGATGGATTGAGTAAAAGTTAGTCAACAACACAGCCATTATTCTTTTATGTCTGAATGTTTGCAGAATTAACCACTGCATTAAATAAACCAAGTTTATAAGCCCTTATTTATTCTGTATTGCTTTCTGATTATAAGATTACTGGAAACTCTGATTTTTTAATTTTTCCAATTTCTGATAAATAAATGAGACAAGAGAAAGTATTTAGGCTGCAGACATGTGGGCTAAAATTATATCTCAAGAATAACTGACAATTAGAGGCCGACCGAAAGTGATTTTCTGATTTCGGCCGAAGCCGAAAATAGGCCGAAAGATTAAAATGACTTTTGGCCGAAACCGAAAAAATGCCGAAAGTTTAAAAAAGTTAAATATGAATTTCGGCCGAAACCGAAAATGAAATATTAAGATATTTTGAAATTCGTTCCCGCATACATTCTGCATACATCGAAAATGATGTGGCAAAGTATAATATTTACATTCTTTTTATAAAAAATGAGATAATCGTGAATATTAATACATAAACTTCTAATATAGGGGTCTCAAACTCGCGGCGGGCAAACTCATTTGTGACCCGCAAGACGATATTTTGCGGCCCGCTACATGACAGAAAAGTTTAGTGTTAATGCGCCGGCCCGTTTCCCACATTCTCATATCTATAACGTGACTCTCCGCGACGGTTTCAGTCGAATCTCACCGACTAGTCTAATTCTGATTTTTTTTTTTTTTTAATGTTTCTATATATTTTTGTATACAACAGTGAGCAGGTGGATGAAAGTGAATCCTAGTTCTTGAGAACCCTTAATGATTTTATTGTTATTTATAAAGGTTGAGCAGATTGTAACAGTTGTAATCGCTTTTTTGTGGATTACTTGATGCGGCCAACTCTCATTCAGACGCTAACTCCTGCGGCCCCCCTGATGATTTGAGTTTGAGACCCTTGAATACTTTGGATTTTACCATTTTAATACAAAAGTAATTTAAATTGCTTTACAATTTTTTTAAATTAGTATGGTAAGAGAAAATTTGGCCAAAAAAATTGGGGGGGAGGGGGGGCAAATTAATGAAAAATATGATTTTTTTAAACCGGGTTTCTAAAAATTGTTGTTCTGATATTGTTCTAAAAGATCGCTTAATTGGTTCTGAAAGGTCACTTTATTTGTTTTTAAAGTTGGTTTAGTTTTTTGTTAAAGATCGTTAGTTGCTTGCTTTGATCGGTTAGTTTGTTCTTAAAGATCGTGAGTTTGTTCTTAAAGATCGCTTAGTTTTTTGTTAAAGTTCGTCCAGTTTTTGTTAATGATCGCTTTATTTTACTTAAAGATTGGTTAGTTTGTTCATAAAGATCGCCTAGTTTATTGTTAAAGATCCTTTAGTTTTTTCTTAAAGATCGCTTAGTTTGTTGTTAAAGATCGTCCAGTTTTTGTTAATGATCACTTTATTTGTTCTTAAAGATCGTTTAGTTAGTTCATAAAAATTGCTTAGTTTGTTGTTAAAGATCGATTAGTTTGTTGTTAAAGATCGCTTAGTTTGTTCATAAACATCCCATAGTTTGTTGTTAAAGATAATTGATTTTTTCCTTATGGTCAATTAGTTTGTTCTTAAAGATCTTTTAGTTTGTTCCTAAAGAGCATTTAGTTTTCTGTTAAAGATCGCTTAGTTAATTCTTATAAATCATTTAGTTTACTATTAAAGATCATTTGTTTTGTTCTTAAAGATAATTTAGTTCGGTCTTAAAAATCGTTTATTTTGTTCTTTAAGGTCGTTTAGTTTGTTATTAAAGATCGCTTAAATGTTCTTAAAGATCGCTTAGTTTGTTTTAAAGAGCGTTTAGTTTGTTCTTAAATGTCGCTTAGTTTGTTTTTAAATATCGCTTTCACTGAGTATTAGATGACCAAAAACCTGAGTCACTTTCGGCCGTCGTCAATTTCGGCCGAAACCGAAGAAAAACCGAAAGTTAACTTTTCTCTTTTGGCCGAAACCGAAATTAAGCCGAAAATTAACTTTTCAGTTTCGGACGAAACCGAAACTTGGCAGAAAGTGATAAAATGGCCACTTTCGGCGCCGAAACCGAAGCCGAAGCCGAAATTCGGTCGGCCTCTACTGACAATCATTGTTGAACATCAATAAATAACACTTAACTGACCATGCGTGGTAGGTTGTAGTCCACTGGCCATAATACCATCACAGCGGTGAATGATACGAGGCATGTCTATTATAGATTTGGTATGGAACTTCTCATATGACAACATAACTAAAAACTGGAAAATATGAGGGATCAACACCTCTGAGTTTCTGAGGGGAAAAAATATTAAATTTAGGTTTATTTTATGTCATATAAAAATACTGAAATCATTTTAACTAATGAGATCAATACACAATATTCAAGTGGAAGAATTTAAAAAGCTGTAAAATTAACATTCAACTGACTTTCAACTTATAACACAAAACATTCAATTGTTTACTTCATGGAAGTTTTATCCTTAAAAATGGACTACTTTATCACACACAAAATAATTTGTAAATCACAAATGCCGTTGACAAACCTAATTTGGCCTTCCTCAATATACTCAAACTGTTTTATGACAAAGCCAATAAAGATTTGATCAGAATCCAAAAGGCAGTAGTTGACTCTGAGTTGTATCAGCTGAGCCAGCAGGGCCAGAACTTGGCACTGAGAGTAAACATATGGAATTTATCTTGAAAGTTTCCAATGGCGTGATTTGATCATGCATTTAACATTCTGGTTTTAAAATATATTTACTAATTTTTGAATGCTCTACTCTGCTATTATCAGGTATAAAATGTGTTTAAAAAAAACATGAAAAACTTAGAGAATAATAGACATACTTGTAAATCGAGACTTGACGTGACTGTGTACTGTTTGAGAGCTTTAATAACCAGAGGTTCAAATAATCGAATGTAAGATCCAATCACAGCCTGAAACAAGAGGTTGAAGAAAATAAGCAAAATGTTTCTTTTAATATATTCTATTTATTAAGACACCTAAAATACAAATTTATTTTTAATAATTTGATATTTATATTTGATATTTGATGTAATTCACAGATTGTCCGTTGTGTGAGATAAAGATTGTGAGGAAATATGTATAGAAAACACAAACTTGTTTATGCAAAGCTGTCTATGTCTGCTTTAAAAAATAATGGTCTGAATATTTATAAGTATGCTTCTTACAATTCTTTGACTTCTAAATTTTGATTAACCTAATTAAAAAGTTACGGCTATTACAGATGCATATGTTCAAGTAGAAAATCTACAATCGTGATTACCAATAATAAAATATTCAGGAATGAAAAACCTTTAAAAGGTTGAAGATAAAGATATAATCTTACTTTATCAACTTTGCTGGTTGGTTTGAGGATAGCTGGGAGCTTCCTATCTACTCTCTGTTTCAACCAGAGGAGGGAGCTACAAATTGGAGATCAAGTGGAAAAATTGTCATGAATTTTTATTATAATTGTAATAGAAATCAATATCTTTTTAAACCATGTAAATAAAAAAAAATTTTTTTTAAATGACCACAGAAACATTTAAATATATGGTTTCACAGGATGGTTAAGTTGAGGAAATACCTTTGTTTTATTTTATGCTACTGCAATATAGACAGACATATAAAACAGAATTATACCCATGAGCTTCATCAGCTGGTAGTGTGGCTCTGCATGCAGCTCCTACCAGACAATGGGCCAACTGAGCATAAGGTTTGTTGAGACAGTAGTAGTAGAGGCCGGGACTTGATCCCCCGGCAACACGGGCGCCCAGGTCTGATGTCAGTGATGTTGCTGATTGGCTGTTCGAATCCCACTGACTGGCCATGTTAGTTCCAAACAAGGCTTTCAGCAACTGGAATGAAAGTCACACAGTGGTACTGATTAGCGATTAGTCTTTTATCTAATAACTGTTGGATAATAAGGCCCTGTCGTGTTTAATAGGTGTAATTTCATTGAAGATTATTTTCTTTACAAGTATCACACCATTACAATTTTTAACTGAAAATGGGATGGGTATCCTGTTAGTCATGAAATTACTGCATCAACAACCCTTCAATCAAATCTATGTACTCCAAATTAGGTTGTACACAGGTAATCATTGCCATGAAGATATTTTTAAGATATAAAGTAAGCATACAAATGAGAAGAGGTCTAGAAAGTGTGAGAGGACAGTGGTCAGTTCATGAAACTATGTACCCTGGTACTACAGTACTAATTAGTGGAGAATTTGAAAGTTACCTGCTGAACACACAGTACCGTCCAGGTAGGCTCGAGTGCCATTGTGACCTTTAGGTAGCCAAGAATTTCATCTGTGACCTTGCCAACGTCGTACAGCGTAGCGATTTCTAAAAGCTGTGATAAAACTGTCAGAGTTGTCCGTAACATGGTGCAGAACTTGTCTGAGCTTGTCAGGTCTAGAGATGTCTTTAAAAAAACAAAATTGTAAACATTTTGAAACATAAATTAAATAAGATACCTAATATAATAAACAAGTTATGTGAAAGACCTTCTAACCATGACGACAGAAGACATGGTGTCAGTTTTTTTTCCTCAACATTACTCAAAGTATTTTATTTCAATTATTCCCAGCTATACAGGCATAGTGAGGACTGAAGTCAGCATGTGAGCCCAACAGGAACAGAACCCACCTTGAAGTTTGAGTAGGAACCTCTGAGAACTTCAAAGAGTTTCACATACTGTGGAATGTTGTAGAATGAGCCAATGCCATCTTTTCTGTTCCTGTCCTTTTCTGAATCTTTTTGATCTGAAAGCAAATTTTGAATGACATCATGATTCCCACAGCTGAACCCAGGTCAAGTTTGTGTGGTTTATTTGGGCCTTATAATTATCAAACATTTAACAGCGTACAATACTATTGCAATAGAAACGTCTCCCCAGTCTTTACTATATGTTAAATAAAGCCCTTCATTTACCACATGACAAAGATAAAATTTCATACAATAATTCATTATAAACAAATAAAGAAATATCTTTTAGACTTAATAATTGTCTTTTGCCAAAAAATGACCAAAAAAAAAAAAAAGACAAATATTGACCAGAGACAAAAGGAGAAAAAATTAAACCAATGAAAATATGATACACATTTTTATCATTTACCAAATGACAAAGATAAAATTTCATACAAGAATTCATTATAAAAAAATAAAAAAATATCTTTTAAACTTAATAATTGTCTTTTGCAAAAAAATGACCAAAAAAAAAAAAAGACAAATATTGACCAGAGACAAAATGAGAAAAATTTAAACCAATGAAAAAATGAGACACATTTTTTTTATCACAAGCCATTTATGAAAGGCTCACCTTTCCCAGGGGTTTTCTGCCCTGATTTTTGGTCAGGTGACGCACCAGGACCAGGTGGGTTAGTCTCCTTCTCTCCCTTCATCTTTCTCCTTACAGGACTAAGTGTGGCAGCATTTGGCAATGACGGTAGAGATGGTTTAACTTGTGGTGGACCAGGCATTGTTTCCTCTATAGCATGTGTGCAGGCATTTAGCAGCCTTAAAAAAATATCACCTTTTTAATTCTATCTCAGAAAGGAAAATGTTACGACTTTTTTTTTATTACTCATTACATTGCCTCGTTGTGTATTCATTTGATTAGAAAGCATAAATAGAAAATTTTTTAAAATAATTATAATTTTTTTCGATGAGATTGTGTGATTGTATTTTTACTAAAATGAACAAATGCTGCTACAGCTGAAGCATCATAAAGGCCATATCAATGAGATGGAGATAATGTTATACCTAGCTGTGTGTGTGAATAGCTGCACGATCATTGGCACCAAAAATCTGTCTGCCACAGCTGCCCAATGTCCATCATCTCCAGAGCCAGATAGCTTCTCAGTATCCTCACTTGGGCGTAGATTCTTGTAAGCCGCACCTGTTACATGATTGATTTAGAGCAGTGTTTCACAACCTTTCTTTCTTCCGTACCCCTTGATTAGACTTTTCCTTTTTGAGTAGCACACTACCCCCACCCTCCCCAACTTTCCCTAAATTAGCTAAAAAAATTAATTGAAGCAGATTAAGCTAATGTTATTTATTGGCTTTTATTTTTTTCCTATTTTACAAGTTATTTTAGTATCTACAAGTTGAGCACTGCTGCAGTAGAGCATCATTTATATACATCTTTATCAGATTTTCAATAAAAAAATTAATCATCTCATACCTATAATGTTATTTATTATACAGCTGGAGACCTGACAATAATTTCACTGACAGTTGATAGAAGATTAATATCTTTCATTGCATTTACCAGGTTTTGATTGTTATACTAACCACACACTAGATTCCCAGCAAGTTCAAGTAGATCCTGATGGGTGGTGAGTTCAAGACCTGCCTGTGATGACAACATTAGAGACAAGACAATGGGCAGGGGTCCCCCACCACTGGCTGATGTCAACTCATCCATGCTGAAAAGGGATAAAAATAAATATGTTAATTATAAAAAGACATTAAAAACTGTAAGATGATGAAACACGTCAGGAGGGAATACATAAGAAAGCAAATGCAATAAAACAAACCCACCAGCAAAACATTACTTGACACCTGGCAACTCCATAACAGAGGAGAAATCTTACTTTATGACAAAAGATGTAGAATTCGTTAGATTTTATTTGTATTGGAATTTCCAAGGCAGCCTTAATTTTCGATTATTAAATTTAAAACAATATCTAAACCAAGATGTCACCTAGAAGCACTGAGAGATCTACTGGGAGGTCTTCTCATCCCCAGCTTCTCCACTCTTTCCTTTGAAGCTATAGGCTTGGCTGGACCACAACTCCAAGATGACGCATACTGTGTGACAAGGTATTCTTCCGACAGTCTACACAGAGCTAGACAACAACCACTCTGGAAATTCACAAAATTTTATTTTTACACTTTATTGTTCGACTGTTGTCACAGTTTAATTTTCAAAATATTCCCAGTAGGATTTTGAAGGAATCATATTTTTTTACAACATCAGCTATTATACAATTTAAGATCCACCTTTGCCCAACCCCTCCCCCACCCCCACCACAATTTTTAGCCAAAAATTTTTAATCAGAAATCAGAGGGTAAAACGATATTTACCAAAGACCAAAAAAGGTATTTCTATAACTTCAATGGATCTAAAGCTTAAAAAAGAAGGGTAAGGCCTTGTGCTTGTATACTAATCCCTAATTGAAAAAAAGATGTAGTAATGTCTTGACAAATTCCTAGTTCTCCTTGACCTTGATTAGTGTGAGACACTCGCTATGGACCCTGCAAGCTGGCATGGCAGACTCTGTTGGAGCAAAATCCTCTGAGAATAAGCGCAACGCTAATGCCCAAAAAAAGTGTAGGGTCAGGAAAAGAAAAATCTGCTCAAATCCTACAAGGACCAAAACAAGTGTTGGGAAAACTTTCCAGTCACAAATAGGACTGGCAGGCCACCTGCCTACTCACCGTGTAATAAAGCCTTGGTCATCTTCACATGGGAAGGACAAACAACAACAGTTTTAATAAATGCAAATGTATTTCAATTTATTGCTAAGAAGAAAAACTCACGGTGACAAATTTAGATTGAGACATCAACAAAGTATGCAGCAACTGCTGAACAACTCGTGACAGAGCACTTTCTGTACTTGGATCAATTTCTTGCAAGATGTCAAAAGCATAGGGCTTCATTAGGCCCTGGACCAGTGGCGGCAGCTGGCCTGCCATGATAGGATTCATGATTGGTGTGAGCAGATGTTGGGTTAAATCTGAGGCCACTGACAGGACAGGGTCTTGCTGAGGACTGTCTGACCCAAAAAACAGTGTTGGGACCATTCTGAGGAGAGGAATAGAGTTTTGTATTGTTTTTATTATTTTTATCAATTAAAAAAAATATTGTAGGCATTTCAAATTTATATTTTTTAACAAGATGTTAAAAGATGACAGCATGAACAATGTCTATAACAAAAGGGAATTAACTTCTACAATTATCTTTGGATAACCAATTAATACTTTCTAGAGCCACTTTCTTCAAGAGTGAATATACAAAAATAAAATGGATTCTGATTCATTTTCAAAAAGGAAGGGTAAATTGGTCAGACCCAGGCAGTGATCATAAAATGTCAATAATCCCATCAAATAACAGACCTAAGTATTGCAGCTGATGCTGCTGCACGCACTCTGGGATCCTCATCTCCCAGCAGCTGAATGACAATCTCTTGAAATATATGTTCTTGTAAGCACATCCTCTGTGGGGGAAATGTTTCAACTCTCAGAAACTGTTACATTTATTTAAGATAAAATTTCTGTTGCTGTCACGGAGAAAAGGTAAAATAATTGTTTTCCATTATTATATCCCTATATATTTTCACTAATACAAAACTGTATTAAGGAAGAGCCAAGTGTCAAGATATCGAATAATTTTTAAAATATTGTTGTCAGTATTAAGGAATTGTGAAGATATCCTTTCTTATTGAACTTACGCCCAGGAAATTGTGATCTCCTCTTGCTATGTCAGGGGATATAGACTCCAGGTAACTGATTACCTTGAAATTGAGACCAGCAATAAGTTCTAACAACTCCACCTGTAAAAACATATTATATTGGAATACTGTTCATGACACTATTTTTTTTACTTCTAAACATGACAGGAACACATAATAAACAAAAACTTTATCACATCATGTACATAAATGGTTCAATAGATTTAATAAAAAATAACTAAAAGAAACAAGCTGCCTAAAACAACTGATATTGTAAACAAATATTGACAGGAGACACCATTATTGAAATTATAAGTAATGTAAAAGGTAAATTTGTTACAGAACTAAGCACTAACAATACATGAAACTTTTTATTTATGTAAAGCCTGACATTTTATTTAAATTTTTTCACAAATTTTCAGATTATTCAGTAAATTCTTAAAAATATTTACAATGGGTTTTTACCTTCACCAGCCAGTAAGGATTGGTTTTGACGATGAGAAGATCCAGAAGAATACGGAAGCCCAGACGACCATGACAACTATCCATCAGGTAACTTAAACACATCTGCAATGCCATGAGTGCAGCTCGAACAGCAACAGCCGATTCGTCCTCTAGAATGTTAATGATGATCTTCAAAAGGGCCTCCAGTGATAAGACACCTTTAAATAAACAACCAAAAGAATTTATTTTAAAAACGATTCAAATCATCCATACCAATGACAAAGAATTTTTTACCATTCAAGCTATGGCTAGCGAGCCAATTCTGGCTTACGCCTCTGTTTTGAATGAATCACACTCCTTTTTTTAAAAAAGTTTTATTATGATTAAAATGGAAAATAAAAAAAAAATGAACATGTAATTTAAAATTTCGATGGCAGATATCACTACTATATTGCCTTGTTTTCCTTTTCTATTTTTTTTTAATTATAATGATTTATTAATTGAATTAATAGCAATTCCAATTATGTTTGATATTAATTTTTACATTTTAAAATAATAAATTCCTTATGATTCCAGTCAAACGCAACCCCCAATACCGGCTTTCATCACTTATGACTCCTATGCCTCTGTTACCTCTTGAAACTGGCTTGCAGCTATAAAAGTTTTCCCACCCCTGAATTAGAATGAAACAAAACAATTCTATTTCCTATGTTACAAGATTTCTATAAAATCAAAGAAAAAGAAAACCTACTTTGTTCAGGAGGCTTGTGAGAGTCTATCCACTGGTGAAAATTGCCCCTGCCTTCGATAAGAGCTGCCCGTATGAAACTGCCAATAACAACAGCTGTCTGACCTTTCAGCTGGTGGTCAGGGTGACTGGCATACAGTGTAGTATCTTGTAGGTTCTGGTCATTACCTTCAAACAATAAATAAATCAAGTGTTTCCTAACATATTCTTAGTCACAGACTACCGGCCAATGGTAATATTCAAAGGATCAATCACTTAGCACTAATTTACAAATAATATTATATGTCATATTTGGGGGAATATTAGCTTTTTAAAGTTTTTTTAGATACCCTCTGGAACAAAAGGTGTGTGTTTTTTTGTGATGGAGACAATCAATAAATATGAAGGCAATTCAAAAATTTCAGATTTTTAAAAAATCACAAATTATGAATTTTTTCATATTAAAAAAAGTTCCCTTTGTTTTAACCTTTTCTGATCACAAATAAATATAATGATGAGATAAAAACTGTGCCCATATGACATGAATTCATCACATACCCTTTAAGAGCTTAAGTTGAGCAAATGTAAAGGATAGTTGAATTGATCTATAAGAATGAGGAGAGGCGGTAAGGCATTTTGTGTCTGGGACTCAATTATTTGCATAGTTAAAACTATTATGTGAATAAGAATGGTTGTTAACAGCTAATAAGAGGACATAATCACTGGGGAAAATAGTAATAGTGAGTGGCTGTTTTTAAAAGTTAGATATAACATACTATAAAGTAGTTGTGTTTAGAATGGTATATTTAGAACACAGTTACAAAAACCTGATTGACAAATTCATTTGAAGATTTGCTAGGGTTTGGACTTGCAGTATAATAGAATAGAATTAGATTAGTTTTTACACTATCCACAACATACAGTAAAGCTAAGATAATTATAATTATTATTATTATCATAATACTTAATGGGGTTTGTTGTTTATATTGGACTATATATTTAAATAATTAACAGAATTAATACCAGTAAACTCTTGTTTGGTTCTTTAACTTGTTTGCTCAAGTTATTCATTTGCTCAAGTTATTCATTTGCTCAAGTTATTCATTTGCTCAAGTTATTCATTTGCTCAAGTTATTCATTTGCTCAAGTTATTCATTTGCTCAAGTTATTCATTTGCTCAAGTTATTTGTTTGCGCAAGTTATTCATTTGCTCAAGTTATTCATTTGCTCAAGTTATTTGTTTGCACAAGTTATTCATTTGCTCAAGTTATTCATTTGCGCAAGTTATTCGTTTGCTCAAGTTATTCGTTTGCTCAAGTTATTCATTTGCTCAAGTTATTCATTTGCGCAAGTTATTCGTTTGCGCAAGTTATTCGTTTGCTCAAGTTATTCGTTTGCTCAAGTTATTCATTTGCTCAAGTTATTATCTGTTTTAGGATAAAAAAATACAATGTAAGACTTTAAGAACCAGGAAGGTATTTGCCAAAGTCTGTGATCTGATACACATAAAAACAACTTTTTGACATCTAAATCCATCAATTACATTTTACTCAGTATATAAGGAACACAAAATGTATAAAACCATGCTCCGCCCACATCTTGCATCATCATTTCCCCCCCCCCCTCCAACCCCTCATACTTTGAGCCATTCCTAGATCCACCCTGGCACTGGCAGATCATGATTTATAACTTTAAAACTGTAAATCATATCTGAATTTTGTAATAATCTTTTGTCACTGGTGAAAACAAATCTCAATAATAGTTCACCTGCATTGTTTGCTGTTGGGCACAACTTGAAGAGGAAAAGCCTAGGACACAAGGCCAAGCTACAGGAAACACAGCCCAAGGCCAGTGACTTCAGACTGACCCTGACCTGTTTATCTGTGACCAGGCCATCTGTGACGCCTGTGAGCAGAAACCGTTTGCACAGAAGTCTCAGATAAAAGAGAAGAGGTACCTCATCTTCTTGGAGGGACTCATGCTCAATATTTATCTTGAGGAATGGATCAAAAGTAAAAAAAGACATTTTTAAAATAATTAGAAGAAATAATAGAACAAGGAATTCGAATAAAGTACATAACAATATCCAAAGTTCAAGCATTCAAAAGTTTAAAAAGACTACACTGATACAAATTTAATTTTTTTTAATCAACCTTCAATTAAATAAAATTAGACATTTTTAAGTTCATCAACTGCATCAAGGTTAAAAGTTAACAGGTCCCTAAGATAAATACTTTATGAGAAACTTCAAATATTAGCTTAATTTCTCCCTTGAAATGTAATGAGTACCTGCTCAAGGGGTTCCCCTAGGGCAGGGTTAGGACTCAGGGGTGGGGCTGCATCCTCCCCGGGGTATACAACAATCTGAGGGTTTCCATTCATGTCATGGCCCAGCAATTGAACAGGTGGGGTGTAGGCAAGGTGGGGACTGATGCTACGAACACTCTGAAGAGTCTCAATGCTGTCGCTGTGGGACATTCCTGGTAACAGTGGAAGTTCAAACAAGCAATAATTTATCAGTTGTTTTTAAATACACAACAGATGCAGTTTGTGAATTAAAAATAAAGTAATTACATTTTGATTTAGTATCAATTTTAAATTCAAATCTACAAGATAGCACACACAGAAACTAACCTGATGTAGCAGACATTTCAGACCGCTCCTCATTTAAATCTCCAATCTCCACCCCTGAGTAGTCTGTACCGTCTGTCACCAAAATGGCATCATTGTTGACAAGCTCATTATATCCAACGTTACTTTCAGTCAAACTTGCAGCTAGTCTTTCAAAACATTGGAGAGAAACAACATCATTTCAGTTTTATAGAGATAATATTTTTTTAAAGAAATTAATTAGTCTATTTAATTTAATTATTTCATTTAAGATTTGGCAATAATATACTATCAATTTATTTCCACTAGCCAAATATACCAAATATATGTACCAAATATATACATTCTAAGGCCTGTACGATCATAAGCCTACCTCTTATTTCTGGATGGTAAAAGCCTGATAAGTATATAACCTGCTCATAAGTCAACCCCATAAAATAATATGCCAGTGTAAGCAACATCATACCAAAGAATAATCTAGGATGAGATGCGAAGGCCAGCCTTACATATTTTGTAATCTACTTTTATTATCTAATTTTATTATGTTGAGCGAATTGTGATACTATCTACTTCCTGCATAGTTGTTTTTTAAATATTTAAAGCTTCTGGTAACATATTTGAATCTCATAGAGCATACAGCAGGCTTGAACCTTGACAAACTACAATAACAATTTCATAATTCAATGAACCTGGAGAAAATCTCCTTTGACATGATCACTTCACTACCCCAACCACCCAACTTATTTCACTGAAATCTATCTAATAACCATCAGCTTTAGAAAGGGTATATATGGTATAGCTTTAGCTTCAACTCGAATGAAACATGAAAAAAGCTGATATCTCCACTTCAGAATCAACTGGTACAGAGAAAGAATCGACTGATACAGAGAAAGACTAGATTGATACAGAGAAAGACTAGATTGATACAGAGATTAGACTAATACAGAGAAACAATACACTGATACAGAGTAAAATTAGATTAATACTGATATAGAATATACTGATATAGAGAAAGATTAGACCGATACAGAGAAAGAATTGACTGACATAGAGAAAGAATAGAGTAATACAAAGAGAGAATAGAGTAACACAAAGAAAGTTAGACTGATACAAAGAAAGAATGACTGAAACAAAGAAATATGAGACCGACACAGAGAAAGGATAGACTGAAACAAAGAACGAATAGAAACCTTGGAGTCACGCTTACGGACACCCTCTCCATGGAGAAACATGTCACGAATATATGCAGATCAGCATATAACGAAATTAGAAAAATCAGCACCATTAGACACCTCCTCTCCTTTGATGCCACAAAAACTCTCGTCTCTTCACTCATTCTTTCAAAATTTGACTACTGTAACATTCTTCTCTCAGGCATTCCTCAACACCACATAGAAAAACTTCAGAAGGCACAGAACTCAGCATGCAGACTCATTTTTAAATCAAAGAAACATGACCACATTCAACCACACATGCGGCAACTCCACTGGCTTCCAATATCCTCTCGCATCAAATACAAGTCTGCCAATCTTTGCTTCAACTCTTTCACTGACCCTCACTTTCCTGTCTATCTCTCTGAACTGTTGCTTCCTTACATCCCCACAAGACAACTACGTTCTTCCATTGACAGTAGAACCCTCTCAATCCCAAGAACTAAAACTAAGACCATCGGTGAACGCTCCTTCTGCTTCCATGGGCCCACGTTCTGGAACCAGCTCCCCTTTCATATACGTCATAGTGAAACCTCGTCCATTTTCAAAAAGTCCCTTAAAACTCATCTGTTTAGGTCCGCCTATGACCTGTGATGCACCCTCCTTGCCCTACCTCATTTTCTGTTTCGGGTTGATCCTGAAGTGTCAAAGTGTCCTCGTTTTATAGCCATTTTCATTGTTTCTATACAATAGTAGTTACTATCCTAGTGTCTCATTTGTATTTACTTAGTTTACATGTTTTAATAATTGTAAAGCGCTTAGAGCTTTATGATAAGCGCTATATAAAAATGCCTAAATAAATAAATAAATAAATAGACTGACACGAAAGATATCAACTCACCTTGACTGGGAGGTTGCAGACTTTGCTTCAAATTCTGACATTAAACCAGAAGTATTAGACTTTCGTGCAGATGGATGACTGTTGGTGTACCCTAAGTCCGCATCCTCATCTAAATTTGCATCATCAGACATTGATGTCAAGTCCACTACACCTGTGTCCAAAATAAATTAAATAGTATTTACTTAAAAGCAAAAGCAAACCAATATTATTTTCTTTGCAAAATTATAATTGCATGTACTTATTTTTTAAATAATAAAATAAATTGTAATATTTAATTACACAAGTTAAAATGATGCCCAATTTTTTAGTTAACTTTCAGCAATAAGTTTTAGGAATATTCAAAGCACCCCACCATGTCTAAGTTCTAATTTGTTACACTAAGGTTGAAGACATGCACAGCTGATGCAGGATTGTCTTGTACAGTGGTATAAATTCATTCAAGAAATTTTAAAAGTATTTTATAATTATTAACAATGAAATGCTTCCCTTAATACATTTCCAGCATATTGAACTACACCTTCAAAATGGTTTAGGGACAAGGCACCATGATACTTTCTCTTTGTTACTTCTTAAAATTCCCACAAAGTAAATGAGCTGCTCACTTTCTATTCGTGCCTGGTCCTCTTCCTCAAAATCATGAATGAATATATATGTTCTTGAAATGCTGCCTCGTGTGAGCAACATTTTTCTCAATATAGGAGGTGGAGTACGCAAAAGCTGCTGTAAAGATTCAAGAGCAGCAGTGACGACATTGTGGTCACTGTGACCTGAGTAATGAAGCAAAGCTTGCAAAATCTGAAGAGAAACATTTTAAAGTTGAAAACTTGGTTCCAAAAGGAATCATTAGGTTGTTTCAAAATACGAAAATATTTTAAACTTTAATTTGTGGTACACAAAAAGTTGTAATATATGAAAGTATTCTGATAGAGAATAATTTAAAGTGACACCATTAGTACCTTAACCATTTTTTCCTCGCCAATGGCTTGTTCGGCTTCTGATTCTCTGTAGCCAAAGCTGTCCTTAAGACCTTGATCTTTATTATTAGAGGGAACCAGGTGGGGTATGGAATGACGGAGACAGAGGATCACACCAAGGAGAGTGGGTACTTCGTGATCAATGTCCACGGGTAATATCATCTCTAGAATAATTGGTAAATATGTTAATGTGCAAGATAAGCTTAAAATGTAGCCCTGAAATCATAAAATAAAATATAATTAAGCATTTGTTAAATCAGATATCAGGTATTAGAATTCCTAAAAGCAATGTCTAATACTGAAGGGCTAAGCAGTAAATATGAAAATGACATTTTAAAACCAACATTTCTATTTTAAAACCATCAGTTGCATCCTTTAAGAACAATAATTTCTATCGTGTAAATGAGCATTCAAAAAATTTGAATTTCTTTAAAGATTTGTATAGGCAAAAAGCAAAGAATTACATAACATAATTTACTCATCATAATGTAAAGAAGAAAATTTAATATTGTTTAATTGTTTTAATTTATTTCATTTATCTTATCTGCATTTAATTCAATTAATTTGTTTTTATATTTACTTAAGATTATGAAGGAAATGTTTATCATCAGTGACAATCACTGCACATAATTCAAATCATTTCTGAAAATAATTTGTTAAATAATTGTTTTATTTCTTCTTTTCTTGGTAGCTGTATCTTTTTTTCTGATACAAGACAAAGTTAAGTGTTTTGGTGTACCATGATTCACTAAGTACATCTGATTTATAATGCTATTTTCCCCATTGAAATTTAGAGCAGATGGAATTAGAACCCCTTAATCCTCTTGTTCTGTAACTTACTGACTGTATCACCCAGAAGCCCTTCAATTAATTTACAGAGGCTTATGACTTACCTAGAAGGACACCAATAAGGTAGTTAAAAAAAGACAGGGGCGCCCTGGAATGCTGACATATTAATGCTAGGCTGCTGGCAGACATCCTTCGACAGACAGCGGAATTCGATTTAAGGTTTGGCAGGAAGGACTTCAACAAAGCCTTAAAAAAATGTGTAAACAGAAAAAATATCTAATGTATTAGCTGTTGTGTTATTGCAATGAACATGTCATTCAAATTAAAACTACTGCAACTTAAATATTTTAGCAGTTGTGTAAAAACATATGTTTGCTTCCATGTAACATAGATGATTACACTGACCTTCACTTCTGTGTCATTGGCAAAGGGCATCAAAGCCGAGCAAATCTTAGGCATTGCCATAGATAAAGTGTCCTGAACCGCTTCTTCTTCTCTTCTGCAAATGCGGGCTACACATGGCAATAAGTTCACTATGTAAGGTCTGCAAAATAAGTTATTTTGACCTTTTTGATTGGTTATATACTCTATTTGATAATCATTTGTTTAATTAATATTGCAGTTTCTCTCATAAGTAACAATATTTTAATTTAAGGAGGTCAATAGTATTTAAAAAAGAAAACAAAACATTTATTTTGCGTGTGTACCAAAAATGATTATGAATTTTTTTTAATATATCCCTTTACCTGCATTTCTGTGGCCTGATCAGATGGCACATGTCAGCAAACCTCCACAGTGCAGCTCTTAAACTTCTTGATGGTCCATTTTTCTTCAGTTCTTTATAAAGCTCTACCTGCAGCCTCCCTAGATTTGTTTCCAGGAGAACCTTAATAAGAAACACAGGAAAAACAAAAATAATTATATGTTTACAAGTGCTAAAACGGATTACACTTTTAATTAAGGCTAACACACCATGCTGAAATATTCTTTTACCCAATTCACCAATCCTACTCCAAAAAAGAGTATTTTACATTTTTTGTACAAAAATATGCTTTTCTAAATTTTTACACTTCAATATAAGGGACTGAGTGATTACTTTTATGGTTCTGTTCAAACATTCATCTGCCACCATGCGGACATCTGCTTCTGGATCATCACAAAGAGTGAGAAAACTTTCCATGGCAATGCCTAAAAACTTCGGAAAATCAGCAATAGTCCTGTAGGGAACCCAGTGTATAGTTTAATAGATGACCACCTCATATTTTATCAAGCAAGTTTATGAAAAACATTGGTTCCAAAAGTATGGAAAGCTTTTAAATTAGCTATTTTCTCTGTTCCCAGAGTTTCAAGGTGTAATTGTGTAACTTTTTTTTTTTTGAAAACTTATTTTAGCTTTTTATTATATTTTAATGACATTAGTGATATCTGTTATAAAGCCATTTAAATGTAGGTCAATATATAAGCCACAAAATACAATTTTAAAATACTTGATTCAAAATAATACAATTATTTTATATAAATAATGCATAGTGGGTAAAGAGAACTTTTGATTTTAAAAACTAAATTCATTTTTAAAGATAAATGAAATAATTAAAAAAGTCATGTGTCCACTTAATTTTAATTTTTACCTCATATTAGGTGAGCACATGCAGTCAGCAACAATATTGCAATGAAGCATCTTGTCTTTCTTGGTAGGCAAGTTTTGATCTTTTTTTCTGTATATAAAATTTTATACAATAAATGGAAAAATGTATCCCTAAATGCCAAGCATAGGCCTATTAATGAGTTTTGCTACCATTTTCCTAACATCCCCATTGTATATTTATTATTAAAAAATTATTCAGTGATTGTGTTACCGTTTCAAAAATCAATTATAGTAGAAGAATAAAGACTTGTGAAGTATAACAAGAACAATAATATTTTAAAAGTTGAAATTTCTCCACCTACTTTGGATCTTCAACTGTTTGTGCATTTGGTTGAAAAACTTTCAAGCCTTCAAAAGCTTTGATCAGCTTTTCTATAGTTGCCATGTTTTTTCAATGAGAAGTTCCACCTGCTGAAAGAAATTAAAAAATCATTAACTACATGCCAACCCACTGGTAGCTGACTCAAATGAAGTTTTAAGAAGTTTAAACATGTTTTAACCCATGTAGATTTTTTTAATGAAAACGCAGTCCTAGGGAACTTAAAAACTCAATTCTTCTTATAATTTAAAATGCAAATATAATGCAAACAGGCAACTACAAAAATTAGAATTGGAGCTTATAAGATATCTTATAATCTATCTTTAAAATGACTTATGAAAAATATTTATTTATTCTTATTCAGGAACTGTTTACAGAAAATAATTAGCTTTAACACTTAAGATTTAATACAAAAATTGTATTAAAAAGATGGGAATCTTCAATAATAAAAAATATTTAACAACATAGCCCAGTCCAAAGTTAGGAAAACTTAAAAAAGCAGTTTGCTAATTTTTACTAATTTATTTATTTAAATATCAAAGTAAAACAAATGATTATGAAATTGTTCTTTAATCAATTTAATTATATTAGTACCGGGTACTTATTCTCATACATTATAAATAAAATACAATAAAACTTGTTGGGTCTAGTGGAGCTTCTATAATTATAAATAGTATAAAGAATAGACTATTTCATAAGTTACAGAGTATAAGAAAACTTAGTGGCTTAGTCATTAGGGGTGTGCCGGACCCCGATCCGGAATCCGGTTCCGCCGGATTTTGCACTATCCGGTGAAATCCGGTTCCGCCGGATTTACATGTATCCGGAACAACCGGATTCCGGAATCCGGAATATACCGGATTTCGGAATTTGCCAGATTTTGTGACTCACCGGATCATAATCTGAAATAAAAGTAATTCTCTTTCCCGAATTCCACACGATCACGATACATTAATCGATTGTTTCGAGCGTTGAGCTTGTTTAATGTTTAATATTCCGTACATACCAGAGGCTAGAGTCAGCACCGCTAATAGTGGCCAATAGTGTAGGGACTTTGATAAGAAAATTTAAACTTTTTGTAAAAATAAACCAATGGCATAGTTGAAAAGATGTAATTTTTTAAAGAATTATAACACCAAAATCATATTTTTAGCTGTTGTAGTTTTAAAGTTATGAATTTTTAAAGTACGACTTGGTTTGTCATTTTTTAACATGGACTGCATCTCCACATTCTGTGATCTCATTCCGCCAATCCCGTCATGCGCAATGACTATATAGTTTATATAAGGCAACGCATTCCCTGCCTTATCACTAAAATACTGTTTAGACTTAGTTTAAACTTTCAACTTTGGCACATGAATAATTAATTAAAGCTTTCCCTGACCAATGGTTTAATAGTTTTTGCACACGGCAAACTCTTATGAATGAAACTCTGAGGTAGTACTACGATACAGTTATGCAAGTGGCTGTGAATGGTTGCCAATGACAACGTGTTGCACACGGTAAATTCTGATCATTTATAATATGGATTCTACCGGGTTGTTAAAGCTCAAATTAAAACATTCCAGTTTAAATGTCTTTAAATGCATTCTGAAACACAAGTTATCAATTATTTTGATGTAAATAGTGATAATAAATTAATATTTCCTAAGTATCGTCAACTTCCGCCATTAAAAAGGGGGGCGTGGCCAACCCCATGGCGAAATTAGGTTGAGCGAGCTGCATAACCTGCTGCGAACGCGTAGAAACATGGCGTCTCTCGTAAGACACTTATCCAAATGGAACGGAACTCAAATATATATCGAAAGTACTAATTTAATAATAAATAGACACACACATCGGAAAATTAAAAACTCGGATTTTTTGGCGCCGATTGCGAATTCCCATACACAAAAAGTAGTAGTCCACCTTGACTTACCGAAGTATCTACCAATAGTACCAAAATCCGGAATCCGGGAGAAACCGGAATCCGGATCCGGCGGATTTCGCATAAGAAAATCCGGATCCGGATCCGGTTGGAAAAAACGGATCCGGCACACCCCTATTAGTCATGTCATAATAAAAAATCTGATTAATATGAACTTTGAATTCTCTAAATAAATAATTCATGTCATGTTAGCCTTATATAGTATAGACTATAGTTTATTATGTTAACAACATTTGATTTCAAATAAAAATGTTAAATAATTAGATTTTTACTATTCATAATTATAATTCATCATCATTCTTATCGGCATTATAATCCATTCGCCTTCAAAGTAAAATTTAGTAAAGTATATATGTCTACAGGGCACAATGAAGGGGGTTGATTGTGTTGCTTTGCTGCAATTCTGAAAATCTTAGTGTGCTGAATGATGACAATGCAAAAAATAATGTTAAAGCATGTGACACTTTTATAAAAAGAGGATTACATTTAATCATTTGATTTACCCAGTATCACATTTTGAGAGAAGTATAGTAGTACTAGTATAACTATAGATAACAAAATAAAGAGTAGAGACTGGGTGTCATAAGTCATAAGTCATGACCTATAAAATTTTCAATGTCACTTTTTTTCAATAACAGTCAATAGGCTTCACTTAAGTAAGGTGTAAGTCTAATCAAAATCATTGGGCCCTTACTAATAATATTAATATATTATATTATATATTTTAACAAGTTTTCTATTGAATGAATGCAACACTTGAACTTAAACTAGCAATAGTTCAATGCCCAGTTTAACCAATAGTCAATAGCCTAAATTCTAATATTCATGGGATGGCAATTAATCAATTGGCTTGTCTCTGATTCTAATTATACTCATTCAGAATTCAGATGTGCAACAGAACAGAAGAAATAATTTAAATCTTACAAAATCAGAAATTTGAAAATTTAAAAATGATTAAAAATACCAAAATGCTCTACCATTTATAATGGATTAATCTAGATTTAACTATTAGTCCCTATAAATTTTGGCCCTTATGTAATGTGTTAATCAGGCCTAGTATAAACTAGTTATTCACATCAGATAGGAGTTACTAGTAAATAGTAAGGCCTATGCGTACAGCCTACAAAAAAAATGAAAGTGTCTATAGATAGTTTACTACCTATAGCTTCTAGTTAGGGCAGGGAGCTATTTGTAGTAAACTAACAATAGCTTCTAGAGAGCTATTGGTAGTCCAGCCAATCAAATCAAACCAAAATCTTAGCTTAAAAAATCTCCTTCCAATGAGGCTGGCGAAGTATTGCCCCGTTCATTTATTCCTAGTTTATACTAGTGAAAACACCTCGGCATTAATTATAAAATCTACAGTACTGTTTTTAAGTTTTATCAGTGACAGTATCTGGTTCTGGTAATGTTTCGTTGCTGCATCCATGTACTGGCATCTTTGCAACGGTTGGGGATATGATGTTGCTATTCTAACAGCTCCTAGCTGATGCAAGGGCAGCCTTAAAGCTTTCGACCGATGTCGAGATCACAGTGACATCGTGATTCCATGCTATTATTGTGCTTGGGAAGAAAGGTTGTTGATACTGCACTGTGTTGCACTGAGGCACTTTGAAGCATTTGCTATTGTTTCTGGTGTAATTGTTTATGGGAATGTCAGTGTTCAGTGAGCGCTTAGTCTGTTTGTGTTATTTCATACAGTATTGTAATTAATAAAAAATAAACTGTGACTACCAATGATTGAATGAATATTGCACTACATCAATAATCAATATATCACCAATTGGTAGTTTTTTTTATAGTAAACTATCAATAGCCGCTTAGAAGCTACTGGTAGTGGAGTACCAATAGCTCTCTAGAAGTTATTGGTAGTTTACTACCAATAGCTCGCTAGATAGCTATTGGTAGTAAACTACCAATAGTGATTATAGTATAGTATAATAATAGTGCCACAGCCAAAAAAATAAGATGAAAATGAAGATGTCGATGTCTTGTCCCATTTTAATTAATAAAGTTAGGCTAAATTGTTTTGTCATCAATTTTTCAGAATTTACCGTAAATTTAATTAACTGCAGACAAATTAAGTCTACAGTGGGTTGTAAAATCGTTCCAATGGTTATGCCCCCATTAACATTAGTTGAGAACCGTATCAATGATCATTTATGAATAATGACAAGATGATCGCCATCTTGCAACACTGAAGAGTATACTTAATAAGGTAGAAAAAGTGTCCGATTCGCCCCTGTCTGGTATTGTTTTTAAAAAAATATTCTACTTCCACTTTCGTTTTCGCTCAAACACTAAAACTAAAGACTAACTAAAGACAAGTAGTATTTAGTATAACTTAACTTAGTTATACCATATGTATGGCTGTCAAAAGTAATTGATATACTTAAACTAAAAATATGTTTTCCTTTGTGTAGCATAGCTTAATGCTTTTGCTTACTATTATTACTATTGAACTAAACTTCAATCAATGTCAATGACAATGGCTAGCTTCACCAGAATTCTCGTAAGACTGAAAACAGCGAAGTCTGCGGAGCCGAAAATTGCGGATTTTTCAGAAGTAAGTCCAGTTTGTGTAAGTCACTGTAAGTTTTTAAGTCTTAACTCTTATTACTTAGACTTAACAAATCTTTAAGTCTTGTCTAAGTCAAAATCTAACTTACCCTTTAAATGTAATGTAACAGTAACAGCAGTCAGTGGAGTCACTACTCACACTCGCACTTTCACTTAATTTTATTTTTTTATAATATTCATTATACATTTTACAAAGTCAACTAAGTCTAATACTACACTTACACAACCAGATTTTACAACCACATATAATAATTTGAAGAGATAGCACCCATGGCCCATGGGCGCCCGCAGAAAACTTTCAAAAAAATCGATTAACTTTCGAGGGGGGGGGGAATTTTAGTAATGTTTTAATGTAGTTTTAATTTACTGTAGTGTATTTGTGTGGTGAACGAACGGACAGGACATCAGCTTAGTTACTTTCTCTTTATTTTCTCTTTACTTTAATAAATCTTTTGTCTATTTTTGTCTAAAAAATTTTTATCCAATCAATCCAGGGGGGGTTTAAGAAATATACAAAGCTATGACAAAGTGTAGAGGAAAAGGCAGTCCTCCCTGTATTTCTCTTATTATATATATAAACTTAAAACTATAATTAGTTTGATGACATTATAATTACATGTAATTATCACTCATTATCAGAATTACACTTCACTAATTTTGTTTTAGGGGGCAGTGACGTAGCTAGGGTTGTTGCTACCTGGGGTGGGCAGACAATTTTGCCACCCCATCCACAGAAAAACTGTGCACTCCCTTCTTATGCCACTGCAAGGGAGCAACAGCAACTGACGGTGACTCAGTTTTTTTTCAGATTTGTTCCCCAGCCACCCCCAATCGTCACAAAATGTTACACCCACCCTCACTCAAAATAGTGTCATAAACTTCTACCCCCCCCCCCCACCCAATAAAAAAAAAAAAACGTTACCCCCACCCTCACCCAAAATAGTGTCATAAACTTCTACCCCCCCCCCCCCAATCAATTAAAAAATAACAATGTTTCAATTCAAAATCATTTTTATTGTCATTGGAGTATATATGTAATGTTGCTCTGAGATCTGATTTCCTGCTGCATTTTCAAAATATTTGCTGTTCCAATCTTCATCTAATCAACAAAAATTTAATATTTGCAAAAATTCGATTAAATATTCAAACATTCTTTTTAAAAATTAGCAACTGGTTGGTTTTCAGATAGGAGGCCTAAATTTAATTGTTTAATTGTTTAAATTATCGGCCAACTGCAGAGTTTTTTTTCATAGAAGGGTGCGGCAAAAATTTTGGCGCGCCACTCGCTAGCTACGCCACTGAAAAAATCAAAAACAATCATTTGTAAAGCTTTTTAAAATACAAGCTTTAAAAATAAGAGGCCTTTTTATTTTTAAAAAAACAAAGTTTAAAATGTAGTTGCGGTATATTAAAAGTTAGGTTGTTTTTTTAATCAATTAAATTATATATAACATTTTTTTTACAATTCAGTGTGTTTTGTCTCACTTTGGATTCACCAATGATTATGGCCAACTGTATGCAGATCTGCGAGAAAACTTTCTCACTTTGTGTGACACAGCTCGGTCAGAAGAAGATATTAAAATTCCAATAAAGGTACGGTACGAATCAATTAGCAGCAAACTGACCCTTTTCTACTGACTTCAATACATTTAATTTATCCATTGTAATCATTATAGTAATTAACAGTTCTTCTGGGGCACCACAGTGGAACCTCCGGTTAATGAACTTAATCCTTTCCGAGATGCGTTTTTTAAACTAAATTGTTTGCTAACCGAAATTATTTCTCCCATTGAAATCAATATAAATATAAATTCAATTAGCATGTTCCAGCTTTGGAAATATGGTGTTTTTACATTTGTAATGTAAGTATTATTCTATACTATAAATATACATTTTTATCTGAACTAGCAGCCATGTCTTACAACACTATGCATTCCACTTCTTCAGCAGAATGCAACCAACCACCCTCTACTTCTCCTCGCCTTAACTTTAAATTAACACCTTCAGTCTTCAGTTTCTGAACTTGTGGTACTCCATTGTTTTGGCCAGCTAATCACTGTGCAACTTCCTAACCATTTCACAAATTATTGTCTCGCTAACACTAAACACTATCTACAGACTACAGCCAGCTGTTTTCATTTACCAGACTAATAAAAGTTTTCTAAGTCACCCCTTTAGCCACAGCAGTCACCTTTATTGCCTCTTTATTCTTTAGAATAGTTCAAATCGTCAATTTCATTATATTGTATAGTATTGCTTGGCTTCTGAATGAGGCGGACATCTCTGGAACTACATTTCACTGGTTTACTTCTTATCTGGCTGACTTGTACTGTAGTGAATCACGCATCTTCCATGGACACTTCCCTTACCTGCGGCTTGCCACAGGGCTCAGTTTTAAGTTTTAGGACCTATCCTATTCTCCATGTACACTAGCCAGCTTGGCAGAAATATTGAAAGTCATGGTATATCCCGGAAATTATTTGTAGATGACACAGAACTGTACAAGTGTGCTGCTGCTGTTCAGGCTGTAGAGAACTGCTGTCTTGTGGTGAAATCATGGATGGCATAAAGCAGAGTTAAATTAAATGATGATAAGACAGAGGCAATTATATATGGTTCTGATGCTAATCTTCGGAGGTCGTTGTCACATCAATAAAAGTTGGTGTTTCTGAGATACCCTTATCCAACACTGTTAGAGACCTTGGCTTCTACATTGACAGTAGACTTACAATGATCCCTCATATCAGTTCTGTGGTCAGAGTTTGTTTCTGTCATCTGCGCGCCCTGGGTCAGCTGCGTCCTCAACTTAAGGGAACAGCCAATGCTGTAGCAGACTCTCAATCAAGATTAGACTACTGTAACTGTAATAGTTGTTTGTCTGGTTTACCTCAAAACCAAATTCAGAGACTCCAGAAGTTACAAAATACTGCAGCATGCAGTGTATTGCTTATAAAAAAATGTGACCACATCACATTGATCACAAAATTCTGTCCCTGGCGTACAGCTGTATGGAAAGCTCTACACCTGAATATCTTCAAACACTGATAAACATGTATCCTTACAGAACCTGCGCTCTTTAACACAGTCCTTACTGAGGGTTCCCAGTGGGGATGGACACAGAAAGAAGTCATGCGCTCTTTTGAAGCTCCTGATCCTAAATTATGGAACATTTTGCATCAATCTTTGAGGGAAATTGAAAATGATAAAAAATCATTTAAGAACCATTTGAAGACATTTTTTTTCAAAAAGATTATAGGACATCAAAGCGCTGTGAGCATGCTAACACTAACATAGCATGGACACAACCCTATAAAAGTATTCAGTCATCATCATCATATATGGGAAACACAAAGCCAAAGGCCATTGTCATGTTATATAATTTATTTCTTTACTTATGCACTAACATGATGCCTATTAAAAAGACTCTTCTCAATAAATTAAATTGAGACACAACAAAAAATACTATTAGTTGAAAAAAAAAAATTTGTATTGTGGTACTAATTGTAGTTTTTAAGTCTACCAGCGTCACACCAAGAAACTGAATCATTTTCACACTACTAGCAAGCCACCTACGAGCTCACCATAACCCATCCGCCCCCTAACCAGATGACTCGATGGTCCTAGTCGATTTTGACGGACGAACAACAACAGTTTTTTTTCACATCAGTGAGAAACAGGAAACTGGTACTTTTCTGACCAAATGACATTAAGTTGAGGTATTAAGTTAAAATTATCATCAAAACTGTTTACAAGTGCTCATTATCAAGCTGCTCTGTAGCTAGATATTACATATTGCATTTCTGAAGATGTCTTCTCACACAGGTAGGTAGTTCCAAGACCGAAACAAATCCATGAGCAAAATCATTGATATGAGCAAATGGCATCGAGATCTGTAAAACAGTCTGGAAACTTGTCAAATCAGAATTCACTCCTGGCACAAACTCACATGGGAATGGGGCTGTTGCTTCTTGTGCGAATGTTTCACAGCATGGGAACTAAGTAAAGCAACCCCTAATCAACACTTATTGATTGAGCTTAAACTTCGAAATGCACTTTTTTTTTCCAAATTTAATTGGGGGAAAATTACATATATATACCGGTACTATGAATCTATTAACAATTGTCCATCAGAGAATAACAAGAAGCTGGATCTTCTTGATTTTACAATGTAATTCTCTCCAATTACACATCTGCATTATACCAACCATCCAAGCCTTCAAAACTGCCCTCAAGACGCATCTCTTCAAACTCTACTATTCCGAGTCATTCTCACCCCACCCCCCACCCCCCCGCTGCTGGGTGCCGACCATGGACAGAAATAGTACTTGGGTGAGGTCATTCTTATTACAAAGCTGTTTTTAAATGAATAATTTTATATACTGTTTTTTAATGTCACGTTTCTTTTTTTTCTTTTTGCTAATTTTTATGTGAAGCGCTGTGAGCCTAGCCCTAGGCTGGGGAACCACGCTATATAAGACCACTTTAATAATAATATAAAATAAGGGCAATAATAAAAATGATTTATGTTGATGCTGAATTTGTAAATAAAAACTTGAAATTATTACTTTCAGTTCATAAGCTCCTGACAGGCTGGATAAACCGAAGCTGTAGGTTGGGAATCTAGCCCGAGGGTTGTAGTTTGTTGATCCCAGAGGCTAATTATGCCGGTCTAGCGCAAGTTTCAAGATTTGGGCGACTGAGTAGCGCTCGCTTCTATTTTTTTACTCATAAAATAATGAGCTTTCCTTCGTCCCAAAATCTAAATTATAGCTTTATCATATCAGCAAAAATGATAACTAATGAGAATAGTATTAGTATGATGACTTAACTAAAGCTCCAAGCTAAAAAGTTTTTAAATGGTGACCAGTTAATTGGTAATCGGCCAATTTGCTAATCGGTGCAACCCTACTTAATATTAGTATTGCTAGTGCGATGTTAAGCGAATTTCAATTGTGAAAAAAATACAAAGCAACATAGTATAACAATAATTACACACACACAAATGTGTGATGTGATGACCTCTGGCAGCGTTAGAGATATAAATATGTTATTATAGGACAATTATTGCAGAATTTTAAAATAAATTTAGGTATTTTCAGCCGAGGACACCCCCCTCCCCCCCCCCCCCCCTTTTTTTTTCTCCGGCCTTACGAATTCTTATGCAAAATCAACACCCCCTCAGTGCATACGTAATATATATGGATGGCCCCTAAATTGAATAATTATTAATTTTGAACTATTGAATATCACCAGCATCCTGCATTTTGCCCAGTACTTCATCAAACTGCAAATACCGCATCATTGTTACAAGATGAGATAAAAAATTGTGGTGTAGATGTTGGTGCAGCGATTATTTTGGAATCCAGTGATGGTAAAGTTCTCCTCACCCGTCGTGCACCTCATTTACGTATTTTCCCAGGACTTTGGGTACCACCAGGTAGTTCTTTCAACCAGCATTGTCTTTAATTAGGATCTCTTTAATTAGACTGGTTTGTTTACTCCCGTGTTGTTGTTCTGTTGTACTACTGATGAAGGCATCAACCAGAATGTGTATACTTTTATTTTATCTGCAAATAATTAAAGCTTACATACACCTCTTTTTTTACTGCACACAAATTGTTTGTATCTTATCAATCCTCTTGTCTTGCACACATTTTGCATTACCTATTTATTATATTATTATAAATATTACTTTGACCTCTCTTTTTTTTTTTTTACATTTTAATGATTATATATATATTTTTTAAAATATGCCCAAAGATTAAATTGTAAAATATACAACTATCACTATCAGCTCTTCATTTTAGAGTTAATTATCATACTCCCAGTATACCATTGTCATTGACATATGAGAAAGTCTTCTTTCTTCTTCAGGGGGTCATGTAGAAGAAAATGAAAGTGTAAGTGAAAGAACTGATTATTATTATTATTATTATTAATAATTTTAAATTTTTGTTTTAAATAAGCTGAGGTCTACAAATAAAGTAGGCTATGCTTTTCATTGATTTACTGCTATGTTTCTTGATTTTAGTTAGCAGAAGCTGGCATAAGAGAACTGCAAGAAGAAACTGGAATAGACTTAAAGATTATGGACTGCAAAAACAAAAAATTTGAAATATTAGGATTGTGGGAGGTAAGGGATAGTATATTCATTTTTTTTTATTTGTGTAACATTACTAACAGCTTTTCAAAACTATTCAGATTATGCTGTCTTTTCTCTAATAAGAGATTTATTAATTCATTACTAGGCATTTATTTGCAAGTCACATACAATTAAAAATGGGAAAATGTTAATTTTCTTTAACATTCTTACTACAGTATTACTTAATTCATTATTAGTTTTAATATGAGAAATTGAACTTTCCAGTCTGTGTTCCCACCAATGCTAGCCCTGGGTCCTCCGCAGCGACATCATATTGTTGTTTACTTTCATGCTCAATTAAAAGATGGTATGACAGCAAATGAAATGGAAAAGCAAATCAGTTTTAATCCACTGGAAGTAGATGCTTGTGTATGGGTGGATAAGGAGATGATCTCTGCAATTGTCCAGTCTTATGAAGATGATTCCATTAAATCATTTATACACCTCCCACAATTTGTCAGGTATGTCTAACATTTATTAAAAAATTGTAACTTTGAGGCCTAAGTTATGTTATATCAATATTCATTAAATTTAAAATAATTTTATGTACCAGGTATGTTAATATAGAACTTCTTTTAATTGCTTGTTGATTGCCAAAATAGTTTACTGATACACAAACCTCTCATTCATATATATTATCTAGCATTGAGTAACAAGCTGGTCTTTTTTACTGCTACGAAACAAACATTGTTCTGGGAGTTTTGAAATGGTTTTGGACATATTTTTCATAAACTTGTTTATTTAAAGGCAAGTATACAAGCTCAATTCTGTGAATGAAAATATACCACCCTATTTCTTAACAAAACAATATCCATTGAAACGATCCTAACTTTTTTATATTTTTTTATATTTTCTCAAACTCAGAGCCCTAACCCTAGATGAAAATCAGAAACAATGTACAACAGATTTACCCACTGCACCTTTGTTCAATGTTCTGTCATCAGAACTCAATGACACTGAAAGGGTTAGTACAGGCACCAAGTTTGCTCTTCAGCAATACCTCAAGAAATTTGGAAATTAATTTAAATAAGATTGCATGACAAAACTTACACAGTAAAAGTTAAAGAATAAACATTATTTTATAGCTGTGTGTATTTTTCTGGAATTAAAACAATTTTTATTTCATTCTATATAAATATATTTTTATAAAACTTCACCTAAAATATTTGCAAAACAAATAATTGTTAATTATTATTGTTTAATTTTTAGTAATACTTTACTTCTTTTTTTAAATTTTTTTTAAAATAAAATATTCATTTAAAATTTAAAAATATTTTGTTTAAAAAATTGTGTTTTTACACTTGCAAGAAATAGTAGCATGATGGATTGGGAATATGTGATTAATGAAGATTCAAGGATTTAAAACAGTAAAGGAGATTTTATTGACTGGTTTTATTGTACACAAAATACTTGACATATTTATGAACAATGCCTTCCAGATTAAATTAAGTTCAAAATTAATTTTTTTATATCATTTCCAAGATATATACCACGCTCATCAGTCTTATAAACATTCACATTATTTACAAGTAGGCCTACTAGAATTCCTTATCAAATAAAGACATAAGTAACATAATATATACAGATCTCATGTATTTAATGCATCAATTTTGACCTGATTTTTAAAAAAATACCAATTTACTGTTACCTCTTTAACTTATTACAAATCAAATGGAAACACATTCCTTTTTTTTTTTAAAATTTAAAGTCAAATAATAACATTGTAGCAAATCAAAATGAAAGAAAAATCTGCCATTATAAACATTTATTTTCGGTACCAGGCCTGAAGATGATTCATTCGCTTGACCTTTTTCCTCAACTGAAGAACTCCATATAGCAATGCTTCAGCAGTTGGCGGACATCCTGAAAATATTGAGTAAAAATATCTCAATCTTATATTTTTAGAAAAAAAAACAACCTCAACAAAAAATTAACTATCTTATGTTGTGTTTCTTTTGCTGGATCAGCTTACCTGGTATATAAATATCCACTGGTATGACCCTATCACATCCTCTGACAACAGCATATGAGTAATGGTAGTAGCCTCCTCCATTGGCACAACTGCCCATTGAGATAACCCAAGCTGGCTGTGGCATTTGATCATAGATCTGAAAGATGATTTAGATTTTATTAATTTTTATTGCCACTCAATATTATCAAATTGAGAATCACAGCTCATTTAAATTTTTCATATCAACCAAAACTAAAATGTTTGTGTTTAAGTATTACAAGGGGTGATTTGTTCAAATTAAATGCAAACCTTTCTAAGAGCAGGAGCCATTTTATTAGTGAGGGTGCCTGCAACAATTATAACATCAGCCTGTCGAGGGCTAGCACGAAAAACAACACCATAGCTGTCCATGTCATATCGAGGAGCTGCAAAATGCATCATTTCCACAGCACAGCAAGCGAGACCAAAAGTAAGTGGCCACATGGAACTCTGAAAAGGAAAAGCAAAATACATAATTAATTCTTGTCAATTTCATTGACACAGGTAAATAGTAGGGCTAAATTTTATTTTCCTGGTTCCTCGTCCAGGATAATACTGATTTGAGTAATACAATTCAGGAATTATCTATTGAAAACATGAATCATGTTCCACCCAATGGAATAAAAAAAATAACTGCTTGTACCAAGCATACATTACGTACGAAAAAATGGACAAATTTCACCCATCACACCTCCCCTGTTACATCCATACTTAAAATCAATTTTACTATAGACAATTATGAAGTCACAAAAAGCTGCGTCACAGAATGTCTCCACTGCCCAATGGTTCTCAAAATGTGTGCTGTGTCGCCCTGGAGTGTTGTAGCTTTTTCACAGTAGCCCTTCCAAATATTACACGATATTCGTAATTTTATTTCCACTTTCAATCCAATGTGACAGGACACAAACACCTATCAGTTCTGGTGGGAACCAGTAACTCACATGAGTACTTACTCTTTGCAGAAACACATACAGTTACTAGATAGTACTTAGTTACCTTCATACACAATTGTATTATTTTTACCCAAACCTTTCAAATTTTACAAATTTATTAACTGTTTCTAAGTGTATACACTATTTATTATGAGAAATAGATTTTAACATTTTAATCACTACTTAATTTACAAGATTACATATTGAGTATTAAAACAAGTTAAACTTTTGACTGATGCTTTTCTTCTATTAAAAATCACCAGTTTTCTGCCAGGTGTATAGTTAGACCCCTGCAAAACCTGTTAATCAATGTTGAAACTACTAAACCATTGAATACCTCTTACATACATGTCTATCTTTCAACCTGCACCCATCAGACTTCCACAATTCGTATGCTCTTCCCTAAACCTTACACTGTGCCGTCTTATTCCATTTTCTGCATTCCCATTTTCAACACTACTCAGGCCCTAATTAAATGTAATTTACTTCAGGGGCTAAATTTATTGATATTATTTCCAAACCATTTAGCTATAAGAATAAAATATCATTCGAAATGTCCAAAAAATAAATGTTGATTAACAAAACAAACCATATTTTATTTCCCTCATCCAAGAGAATTGAATAAAAACACATATTTAATTAGCAGTCTGAAATGAACCCTGTTAATTAATTTTTTTTGAAACAATATATTCATTAATATTACTTAAATTTCAGGGTATCGTCCCTTTAAGTTTAAGAAAAACATAAAATTTAAAGAAAGAGCAAACAATAAAAATTATTTTGAACATCCACAGTAAAAGAATTTTTCTTTCTTTTAATCCAGACAAATTGAAATGCTTATTTAATATTCACCAGTGAATTGTGTTTTGAAGAAACTAATATAAACACAAACATTATAAACTCTTTTTTCAAAATATAATTCTGTAACTATTGATAATGCAAACAGCAGCAGATCTAAATATGTATTTTATACACAATGTCACCTAGCTACATTTAAGGCAGAGGTGAGCCCTTGGAGGAGCAAAGTATATTTTATAGTGTTTGGTCTTATCTCTCACATCTTGTCAAGTTAAAAAAATTAAAATCTGAAGTATTAATCCCTAATAATAATAAATAATAGCACCTTAGTTTAGCTTCACATTAGAACAAAGCAACATTATATACTAACAATATATATTGCCAATCTTTCTTCATGAGACTGCACTTGAATTAAATTAGAAGACAATTCAGAGGTCTACATGTAAAAGAAAAGTAAATAACAGCCCCTGCACCGGGTAAAAGCCAGTAAAAACACACAGCCCTTTCTTTAACAGTAAAATCTATGTTCCAGCCATCTGTTTTATAGGCAACTGAATAAAAGTAAAAACAATGTTTGTTTGGTACTGGTATTAATGTTTTTATTTTTTCTTTCTAAACTTTTAATTCATAAATTTGCCATTATCTACATTTTACTTGATTTTTACAAGTATATTTTGAGTATATACATTTTTAAAAACCTGTGATAACCAAGGAGTTAATATCACAACAAATACATCCGTAAGCCGAATGTAAAATGGCCACAACAGTTATTGAGTCATTTTTCAATATCCTCGGAAGGTGTGCATGATTGAGTTTCATTGTACCTGTAATACCTGAGGCAATTTCGACCTCAATGTTTTTAAAATTAATTGAAAAAAGATTTTTAAAAATTAGAAAATTTTAAATTAAAAAAAAAAAGTTAAAAATCGTGTTGTCACAAATTTGTGACGANCCCCAAAATATGAAAATGACAAACAATCCCGACACCCTTTTATTTTAAAATGTTACAGTAAATGTAGATTTGCACATACAAAAGGAAACCCATATAAATATAATAAAAATAAATTTTATTTGTTGAAATTATAAGTTTGGTGCATGAGCCTTTTTTATTCCCTTAGCATCAAAACCTGGTTATGGTAGTGGTTTATGGCACAATACACATATACTTACGCTTCACTGAAGTTCTTAGCAATTTCATTCCAGCACTGATATACATTTTCCACCATTTACTACTAGTTACATGAGTAAAGAGTTCAGGAAATAAAATGTCTTCTTTGCAAATCATACATTTTGTCAAGTTAAATTACCTTTCTTCCCCAATTGACAAGATCATCAAGTCTGGCAAGGGCATACTCTGCTTTACTACTGAAAGGCCCTTGAAAAGGTGAATAAGGTTTCTTGATAGACGTCGGGGCAGGCGCCACCTCTGTACTTTTACTTCTATAAGGCACTAAGGAAGTGCTAGAAAACAAGACCAGAAAAAACGTATTAATTCCTGAGAAAAATAATGTTCTTCAAAACTTAAAATTATAGTGCTTGATTTTATTTATGTTAATGGCAATATGTGAATTATATAGAATGCCTGAATTTTGAGGGCAAAGTATGAAATGATTTATATTTCCCACATTTCCTAGGCATTCTATACAATGCAGAAGAGCAACCCGGCAATGTATAGAGTACCCTGGTATTCATGCTTGAATCTTTGCTCAGCGATGGCGATCAAGACACACATGCTTCGTGCCCCCGCCAAAGACGCTTGACCCTATTGTTTCAAGACAACTGCTGAGATGGTAGAAGATCAGATTGTAGTTACAGATCAGAAATCACGGCATTTTTACTTGCAACAGCGGTTGTACTGTGAACTTTCTCAACTACGAGCCAATATAGCTAAAAACAGCGTTTCTTAAACGGAAACCAGTAACCAAAATTATAATGTGGATAATGTGAAAAAGGCTTGGACGACTACTCAGAAGGAACTACAAGACTATTGGCTGCTGAAACACGATGATGTAATGGCGGTAGAGAACAAAAGTAAGTTGATCTATCCTGTTAAAGAAGGTGACAGTGCTATTCAGTTCTATGTCACAGATTCTGAATTATTTAACGGAGGTACTTAATGAGGCTCATTTGGCCGTTGGACATGGAGGACAGGAAAGAATGTTGAAAGAACTTTCACACAAGTATAAGAAAATTACTTGTAATGATATTGAACTGTACCTTCACCTTTGTGAGCCATGCCAGAAGAAACAAAAAAGTGTCGAAAAGGGTGTTGTGGTGAAGCCTACAGTTTTTTTCTGAATTTAACTCCCGTGGTCAGGTAGATCTTATCGATAATCAGTCCCATCCTGACTGGGAATATAAATGTATAATAGTATAATGATGTATAAAGATCATCTGACAAAATGTGTGGTTCTGAGGGCTCTAACATCAAAGAGAGTGGAAGAGGTAGCCTACACACTTGTGGACATATTTACGTTGCTTGAAGCTCCCTCAATTCTTCAGTCCGATAATGGCAAGGAGTTTGCCAACAATGTGGTGAACAGCCTAAAGGAGTACTGACCCAAGTTAACAATCGTCCATGGTAAACCGCGCCAATCACAAAACCAGGGCAGTGTCGAAAGAGCTAATCAAGAAATCATGCTATGTGCTTAAATGCAAGATGAAAAGATGAAAGAAACTGACCACTGAAATAAGGGATTACAATTCATCCAACTTACGAAGGACTGGGCCTTTCATTTCTGGGATTTTGAGAACGCCTTTTGAAGCTCTGTTTGGCTGCACAGCTAAAGTGGGTTTCGCAACGTCTTCCCTAACCCTTAAAATTTTGCAAGACATACAGACTGAGGAAGAACTTGGGGAAAAAATAATAGAAAGCGTACAAACAACACAGCAGGAAGAAGCAAATCACCAGATGCAAGATACAGAGCCTACCACACAGAATACTGACAAGAATGAAACCCATAATAGAGGAAACCAAACTGATTGTGACGGCATGGATACCGAAGAGCCTTCCACTTCTGCTGTTTTTGTGTCTGCTGAAAAGAAAGCAGCGTTGCCAATACTTGCCAAAACTGTCGCCTTAATGTTTATGATATCTGTGGGTATGCTGCTAAAGATGATGGAGACGAGGAATTAGAAGGTTATGGTGTTGGTATTTTGTGCAGCCCGTGTTTCAAGATTAAGAGAGCTGTAGAAGTTATAAAAGAATATAAATCGAACCTTAAAATCCTAGCCAATGAAAATAGACAAAAAAATTCCCTCCTCCACCTTTAGGAGACACTGTGCAAGTTCCTATTCCTGACGATGACAAGGGCGGGATGACTCGCGAAATCTTTTGGCAGTTCGTATGACAGTGACAGAAGACGGCAATTACCGACTTGGAACTGCACAAAGTATCTTGAAACAACTGTATGGGAAATCACAGTTCGATGTATGTCCAATGGACTTATTGAGTGTTGAAGATGTCCCTGACCATGAAATACCTCTATGATCCGCTGCTATCTCGCAGTCAACAGGATGCGGTCAAAGATTTGTGGGGGATATGTGCAAGACCAAGTGCAAAAACATGAAGTGTCTTTGTGTGAAAAATAAAATTAAGTGCACTTCAAAATGCCACTCCAGCCTTACTTGCTGCAACACCTTGCTTTCTGGTTTCATTGTTATGAACGCCCTTTACTTAATTCATATTTCTTCTTTCGTTTTCAAATATGTTTTTCCAATAAAAACATTTTCATTACGCTCTTTTTAAACTTTGCCTGAAGTATATTTGTCATTATGTATAATACCTAGGCAATTTATAAAATGCCTAGGCAAAATATGTGACATAATCAAGAAAATCAAATATTTCATACTTTGCCTAAAAACTTGGCATTCTATATAATTCCTAGGCATTCTATACAATACAATACCTGCATTTCACACATTGCCAGTAACATATACATTGCATTGAATTTGATTGGAAGAAACAAAAATAAATTTGGAAGCAGATAACCAGATCATTTGTGAAATGGTCTAATCTGGATATAAAACTTAAATGTGTCTCATTAAAAAAAAACAAAAAAAAACTCTTTGATATGTTACCCACTCTATATATTATAAATGAATCAGTATCTTATAGATTTGTTTTTCTGGCTTCACAATCTAACCAAGTAGAAAATACTTTTGGGATGATACATGAGATGGACAGGAAGGTTTTTTTTTAAATCTTTAAATTTAGCAGATGCTATATTTGACTTAACATTTTAAAAAAGGTTAAAATACACTGTGTAAAAGTAGCATTTTAAAAATATAACATAACTATCAACAAAGTGTGATTCTACTCAGTGTAGAGCTAATCCAAAGACCAACCTTAGATATTTTTAAAGTTTAAAAAATGACCAAGCATTAATGAGAAATGTCTTCATTAATAAAGTAATTTATTTATACATTTACTTTACCATTAGATCTCAAAATCAATTTTTGAATAAAATATAAGAATACCTTATTGCTTTTAAAGCTGAGTCATCATTTCTTTCAGTAAATGCGCTTCGTACAGAAACACACGTCACTCTCAATGGATTACCAAATAGACTTCTCCAAGAATTAGTGAAGGGTACAGACAACCTCAAGACTGGAAAAAATATTTTACTGGTACATTACCATTTTTAGTTGGACTATACAAGATTCAAAGGGCAAACTAACTTACTAAGCTGGGGCCAAAAGCATACAACTGGAATGAAGTTGTTCCCTTGTTATTACCTCTACTAAGAACAACCTTAGTCATCTGTGCAATGTTCCGCAGAACTGCTCCCTGTACCTTGGTTACATGATTTAAACTCAATCGATTCAAAAATAGTAAATTTATTAATAAAGGGATCTTAATGGGGTATTGACACTAATATGATTTCTCAGGGTTCAATCAGTAGTTATTTTAAGCAGCTATACTCATTTTGAAACAGAAAAATCTTATTAGCAGGCTATGCTCTATTCCTTAAATTTTTATCGCTTGTAAATTTATAATTATAATAATAACCTCCGGCAATGACGCCACTGCAAGAAGCTCATCCAACCAAGGCAATTTTAAACAGATAGGTGCGTGTGTGTGTTTAAATCACTTTATCACTAATTGGGAATCTTATAAAGTTTGTTACCGTGAAATGGGGTGACTTTGCCAACTTTTGGCCTTACTTTAAACATAAATTTCAACATGTTAACTGATCTAAAAACTAACACAAAGGTGCTAATGTACAGAGTGGGTACCTGCACTTTGTTTTTATAGCTGAATAAAGTCATAGTTTGATCAGGTTAAGTTGATAATTAAGGTTTTTTGAGATTTTTCAACTTAAGGAAAAATGGGGCTCATTTGATTCATGATGATTTCATGTTTTTATCTTTTGTCAAGTAACTTAATAGATGGGAAGTTCACGCAATGCAGCTGCCATTGTTTGGTGGGCTATAGGTAGTTCTATCTAATTGTATCCCAATACCGGTATCTAGTAATTATTTTTATATTCAATACAGGTATATATTTTTTTTTTGTCAGAGCGCAAAGCCGGAGCTAATAAATATATGTCAGGAGCAGAGCTCTGCTAATTTACGTTCTGAGTAGGATTCTCTCCCTTTTGTTTATTCTTGGATTACTACTAAAGTTAACTTTTCTTTTTTTTGAATATATGTACATCGATGGAATGTTTTAAATTACCGATAATTAACCATCCAATGCAGTATTATAATATTTTAAACAAGGCTAAATTTTTACGGCATATTTGAATGGATATTGATTTTTCTGTTAACTTTTGGATTTTATTTTTGGTGGAAGCTACAAAAACAGTAAACTGTGTACAAGTGTATTTGATAAAACTGTAAGTTGGGTTTTCATTACTTTGAAAATTTATCAAAATAATTTTATCTTTTTATTCAAATTATGATTTTCTAAATACCCTACAGTGTGTAACTAGCACACGAACACATGGTTTTAAGGTTCACTTTAGGCCTTAGATCACAGATTTTAGCTTGAGTTAGGGATGCTGACTTAGCATTTATGTTTTCGTTTCTCTCTCTTTCCTATCCCCATTTTAGCAGATGTGTTTTTGCACTAATTTTTTTTTGTGGACAGCCATAATCCTGGTTGCCATGACACATCTGCCATCATGGCAACCAAAATGGTGGCTGTGGGAAATAAGTGGCGCGCCAAACGTAAATTTACCCAGAGTTATGCCAAATAAAGACTGCTCTGTCTCAAAGGCACTGTATGACAGCTTGCTTTGGTTAGTGTGGATTGATGAAACAGAGATGAAGAGGCTGATGAAGATTGCAATCTTAAAAATGCAAACATTTATTTTAAATAGGGCATTTTCCGCGGCTATTACTATTAGTAGGCACTTTGATTAAAATTTTAAAACATTTTTAAAAATATATAATCACTACAGCTGTATAGAGCCTGGAGAATAGATTACAAAAACACCAAGATCAACTTTCTAGCTCAAGTGGTTCAAAAGTTATGAATTTTTTAGTAGGGACCTCAAAGGCACTTTTTTACTATGGGATTTTCCTCCACATTTCGTGACCCTCAATTAGCCATTTTTTGAATGCCTATAACTTTATTGTAAAATGACACAAAAATATAATATTTACAGGGAACATAGTTAAATAAGAGTACTTCTAAATAAAGCCAAAAAATATAAGTTAGTTTTTGTTAATATTCCGCAAAATTTTTTTTAAAAATCTTGATTTTGTCCTTTTAAAACATGTATAAATATGCTGACTCGTCACTTATTTGAAATTAATTAATTAATTTTGTTTAAATATTTTTTTTTTAAATTTCCCTAGAATCATAATAACAATAATATTCTTTAGATATAAATTTCAAATTTTCTGTGGAATTGTTTAACATTTATAAGTATAAACTAATAATAAAGGGATCACTTGTTTCATTTAGTTAATATTTACGATTACACTTTTTATTTTACCATTTTCTATATATGTATTTTAGTCCCATATCATATGAATGTCTGAATATGACAAAAAAATAGTATGTCATTTTTTTACAAGTTATTAATCTTGTTTCACAAATTAACATGCATTGATAGAATCAACTTTGGTGGTTTATACAAACTAAAATAAGTTCTAGTCATTTGCTTGTGGTAAGTATAAGTTTTTATGATTGTTCTTTAATATTATTAATAATATCTTAAGTAATTCTTGGACTATTGTGGCAGAAAGTGTGTTTTTTCTTTGAGAATACAAGGATTATGTAATAATTCTCTTGTGAAATATTGTGATATGTGATTAAATATAGGATATTTCAATATGAAAGGTAAGTGACTATTTTTTTTTTTACATTTTTGCTTAATCTATTCATGAAGAATCATAATATTCATTAAAATATCATTACCAATAACAAATAATGTGTCACACAAATAATGAGTTGGGCAGGAGCTAGGCCTATACTTAAAATACTATACTTTTCTAGGCCTGTATATATATACAACTTTTATATTTAATATATTAATTATAATAAAAATGAGGCTAATAATAATTCAGTTTAACCCACTACCCAAGTCAATACCCTTCAATAAAAGCATCAAAATTTTCAAAACAAGTTAAAAAAATATATTTATGTTGTTTAGATAGGTATCTGTGTTATTAAATTATTTGTTTTTGTTTTTGAAAGAGTTATTTTGGAGTAATAAGCTGGATTTCCATTGTAAATCAAGTTATTTACTTGTATTTTTTATTATTAAAAATCGTTATCGATAATAGGTCATTTTGGGACACACGTGACAAAAATTTGGTAGGCATTTTTATACCATTGAACTGGGTGCTAACCTCTTGAATTTTTGATATGTTGTAGTTTATGCTATTATCTCCCGTCGTCTTTTTATTTAAGAAAGACACCCTTTCCAGAAAAAAAATATGAATGAGTCAAATAAGCATTATTTTACCTTCAATTTTCAAAGTTAAGACCTCAAATATTTTTTAGAACAAAAGTGTCTAATCATAAAACAACATGTCTACTCAAAGTTGTGGGCAGAAATAGAATGTTCTTGCAGGGCTATAATTAGCAAAAAAATCGTAAACAACGAGGGTCTCGGTAAATTAAAAAGTGGAGGTCGCCATTTTGATAACGAAATCACGATACCCGGTTTTCGGCAATTCGCGGATCTCATCGAAGTGGCTACTATTAGGCTGTGAACCAAGCACTTCGTCTTGCTAGCAAAATTTATACTATTTGACATTTGGGACCACTGAGTATTACTAACTTTTGTTTTAGTTTAATTGATTGACTGCCTGACAAAGTTGATGCTGTGGGCATTTGTTTATTATTTATTTAGTTAGGCCTATGACAATTGACAAATACTATAGACAATTATTCAATAATATGATGAGTATGAGTTTAAATATTAAAAGTACACCAGGGATATTCAACACAACACTGAAAACAATTTCACTCGGTAAAATTATAACTCATAACTTAGCAATAGTATATATTAATAATATATATATTAGGCCTATATTAACTGTCACTGTTATGTTCCAATCACACCAATCATTTCATAATAATTTCATATTAAACGTTCAACGACCAATCATTTCATAATAATAACAATTTCATATTAAAAGTTCAACAACACTCGTTTCCACTTCTAAAATTTTAAAAGAACTAGTCCTTTAAGACTTCTTAAAAATTAATAGGTGTAAAAAGAAGGAATATGACATTTAATCAGCTATCATCATCAATGTAAAGACTCGTGCATGGGTGAGATCTTAACTTAATGAACTTAATGTTCAATGTCATAACTTACCACCCTTGGTCGCCATGTTTATCGTTTAATAATACGACCCGTAGAGGAAATCATTCGGTGAATAACTTTTATTATTTGGCACCGTAATGTCATTTTATTGATGTATGCAAAAGGTAGGCCTAGGCCTACATACTATATGATTTTTAATTTATTTATTCCATAGTTAAACCCCACGACTTGTGGCGATGGTGAAAAATGGGTGGGGGAACTCTAACGTTTTTACAGACTTTATGGACAAGTCATTTCAGGTCAAATTTTTTTACGGACAGTCACTTCACTGTCCTTAATAATTTTAGCCTCGGCGACTGGCTCGAGAATCTGATCTTCGACTAAAGTTCTTGATGCATTTTCCACGGGCTAACTTTCATGCTTGATTTTCTGACACAGTTTTAGCATTCCGCACTCCTTGTTCGCAGTGGCGTAGCGAGGGTGTTTGGCGCCCGGGGACAAGATTCGCGACCGGGGACGAGATCCTTTTAAAGCACCCCCCCCCCTTTTTTTTTTTAACTCTCAAACCATTTTTTTCATCAATAAAATAATATCAAAGCACATTTTGGCGCCCCTAATTAGCTGGCGCCCGGGGACATATGTCCCCCCTGCCACACCCCCTCGCTACGCCTCTGCCTATGGGAAATCGCGATCCGCGCAACGAACGCTGTTCCAGGAAGGATTTAGTTCGTTGTTCGTGAACCCATTGTAATTGTAATCTTGATACTTTTGTGGGAATTATTTTTTAATTCATTGCAACTATTTAAATGCACATTAATGTTGTAAATTATAAGACGCTGTGGTAAAAAAAAAAAGAAAAAAGAAAACAATGTAACTAATTTGATCATAAAGAACAAAGTAATTAACAATGAATCGGTAAAATTAATAACGACAGTAGACTTAATACCCATTAGCCCATTAGCCATTATCTGCAGACTTAATCGATGCAAGCCTAAGATAAAGACTGTTATAGTAAATTAAATATGTATAGAATTATTTTTGTAAATATCCCGCAGCTCGGAACGGAGCTGGTGTGGAGCTAACAACCATTTGTTTGGAGCGGAGCTCAGCCAAAAACAAAGCTTCTCCAAATCACTGCATCAACCAATTCCGTGACTTGAGTGTGTGTGGATCCGATTGCACACTGTTAGCATACAAAAATTAGGATTGGGATAACGGATGTCTTGAAATTCTATCTATACTGTAGTTTGCAGTTAAAATAACTGGAAAACAATGTCACCACCCTGGGTGGACTGCCAGCCTTCGCCCCCTTCCTTGGGCGCTTGGCGCTAGTGGATAGATTGATAATCGACGATTTGAGCACTCCTAATGTTGTGGCCTGGGGAGCCCCCCCCCTTTTTTTTTTCAACCCCACCTCCTTCGCACGGCCCTGTTGAATGCTGTTGTGTGGACACCCTTCGCAGAGTTAATTTTTAATTGTAAACGAAAACCCGGGATGCTTTCTAACCATATAAAATTAAAATATAATATTATATTATAGTACCTTGACCTTCTTGTGTCATGAAATTTGGGAATTTAATACTCGATACTTCATTTTTATAAATGGTAACAAATTGGTATCAAGGCGTTCTGAACGCATTTACAAATAATTAAGTTCCACTAAGCTAATATACACACATATATATATAAAAAAGCCGATTTTAAGTATATATTTTATTTATGTCTGTACGTATAATCATGTGATGTCGTGATGCTTTCATCAAGAACTTGTATGCTAATAATTACTATAAATACTATAATTATATACGAATAACTATTAAAAATAAAATTTGTTTTTTAAATGCATTTGAAGAAAATGTTATCTGCGAACGTGTAATTTGTTAGTCTTATATTTTATATATTACTTGCAAGATCCTTTTTAAAAAAAAAAACATGAATTTGTACTTGTTCGAATTTGAGTATCGTTACATCTATATGGCGATACTTTGTTTTCTATTCTCATTAATGACCTTGTTAAAATGGCGACGATAACATTACTTCGAACTTGTTCAAGAGGTATTTTAATTTGATTAAATTGCTAAACTAATTTATACCCTCATAGCATTGAAAGCATATAGAGTAGATTCAAACATTTTGGTTACCGAAACAAATTTGATCTTAAACTATGTCAAGATACAATTTAAGACTTGGCACTAAAAGGCTTAGTCAGTTGTCCTGAGTTGTTATCGGCGTCGTCGGTAAAAAGGTTTTGACTTGTCGAAATTTTCTTGCCCGGCCTGTCAAATAAAAAAAAATCTTAACTGTTCTATAGCCCATACTGACTTAGAAATATTATTTGGCATAATTGGCCTATCATCCATTCAATTCATCTAGGCCATGTCTGCCTTTGAGTTTGAGCCGTTTTCCTCTACTCTAGGCTCTAACTCTAGGGCTAGGGTTTTGGTGATTTACCCTCTTCATCTTCACTCCTCTGTCCTTTGGCACTTAGTCTCTTAGTCTTAGGCTGTGTCCTGCCCATTGTAGTTCGTAGCCTACCCTTTTTAATTTCTGCTACTAGCATAGTGCCCTGATAAAGACTATACAATACCTTATTGGTAAAAAATTTTCCCCAATTTTTTTGTGTGGTGCTTTTCAATTATTTACTAATGACTAAGGACGGCACTACGTACAACATGGCGGTGTACCTAGTGAAGCTATTGACTTTGGCCTGCGTACACCACGGCGGTGTACCTAGCTAAAGCATTGTCTGTGCCCTGCGTACACCGCAGCGATTTAAAGTAGCAAAACCATGGTAGGTATTTCGGTAAGATCCGGGAAGTGCCGAAAACCGGGTATCGTGATTTCGTTGTCAAAATGGCGACCTCCACTTTTTAATTTACCGAGAGTCACGTTGTTTACGACTTTTTAACTGTATATAGCCCAGCATGTTAATTATATTTCCGACCACAACTTAGAGTAGACATGTTGTGTTATGATTAGACACTTGAGTCCCCCAAAAAATTTTGGGGCTTCACTTTGAAAATTGAAGGTAAAATAACGCAATTTTTACTCATTCATATTTTTTTTGTGGAAAAGAACCTTTCATAGAATTTCAAGGACTTTATAAATAATGGCATTAACTACAACATATCCAAGACCTGTTAATTTAGGACCATCAGTTTGGTCAGAAATTTCCTGGGAAATTTTAGTCACGTGTGTCCCAAAATTACCTATTATCGTTAATATTCGTTGCTATGGTAAATAACCTGATTTACTCTGGAAATCCAGACTATTACCCCCTAATAACTTATTTAGAAATAAAAATAAAATAATTAATAAAACAAACACATATTTTTAATATGATTTGATGCTTTTATTGAGGGATATTAGGTTAAAAAAGCATAATTAATTACAATTAATAGTTAACTATTAGTTTTATATACTGTTGTTATATGTATACTGTTATAGAGAGCTTGTTTACATCATATTTCTCGTGCGTGCCCTCTGATTGACCCCGCATGAGACGCTGTGTTCACAAAGGGGTGTGGCTTAGGTCTTTGATGTATTCTTGTTTACGCCGCCAACGAATAAAAATAATTAATCTGTTCCAAATAGTATTT